TAAAAATCAATATCGCCCTATAAAAGCAAATCATGTTGGATTAAAATATTTAAAAAATAGGTGAGAAACAAAACCCCAAAAAATAAACAACGTTCTTCATAAAATGGGGTCCTGAGAGGTTTTCTGGTTTGGAAAAAGCTACTATCTCTGATCGCCAAAATGGAAATAATAGTCGAAAGGGAAGACTAATTTGGCGGTTCTTTGTTTAATTTTGCATTTTTAAGTCTAGAAAGTGCAAATTCACATATCATCCTGCCAACTTTTTTTTAGAAGTTGCCTTAAAAAAAAAAAAAACAAAGGAAAAGAAAAAAAAACTGGCATCTCACATTCTCCCATTTTGGCATTCCTATACAATCCTGCCCATTAAGCTGTGTGCCTTCTACCTTCCTTTTCCAGGCAAGACGCTCATCGAGACAAACATGGTCCAAATTCAAAACAGCCACATCTTCAAGTTTCTGCCACAATAAGCAACACGCAGCACAGCCGATGAATAAGCCTGGAGTGGTAACCTTAACATTATTTTTCACAAAAACTACAAGTCAAACATTCCTTTAGTTTTAAATAGCATGCAATAAATCTACCCTCAGCTGCTTTCTTAAGGGTTTAGAGAGATTTTCCAGAACAGCCTCTGTACTCCCTCTTGTGCATTAAGTGTTAAAAGTATTTTTATAAAAGCTGACAGTCCCTCACATTTCACCACGTTTATGACAGCAGAGTGACAGCTACTATGTAAAGGAGAATTATAGTGATTGATGTAGTCTGACAATTGATCAGAAAGAATGTTGTCTATAAGGATCTGCTGTGACTCCCTGTCAAAATCAATCAAAGAATCTCAATAAACTGATCTGAGTACAAATGACAGAAGCATTTCAAGAACAAAATGAGCAAAGTATAATCTCTTCAGAAGCTGTGCAGACTTTAAAAACAGCCCCATTAAATACACCAGAAAGAGCAGTAGCTTGCAAGTCCTCATAATGCATCAATGAACATCTTCAATAAAGCATAAGCTAGTAGCCTAGAAAACCTCCAGCAAATATAACTCTAAAATGTAAAAGTTGTTAAATGTCAAAACATTTATTAATGCTCACATGGTAAGGTTCTCATGGACATAACTCAATAGTGAGTTGTTTGCTACAATGTGATTTAACTTTTAAGTACAGGGACAATCTTACTTTAGTGCCATAAAAATAACAGTCTGTTCAGTATTAACTTCACAATCACCAAGTTTTATTCTTCTATGAGTTTAGCTTTTACAGATCAACACAAGATTTAAGATAGTGTTTCTCTTCTGAGACACAGGAATGATAAATTGTGTGACACATAAATGTATAGAACTTTGGAAAGGTACCACTGGACCGATTCCCTGATCAGCCTAACAGATGTGTAGTAAACTGCTTAATATCACTGTTACTTCAATAAAATCAACAGGTCTTCTAGCCCTGCACCTCCAGAATGGAAAGAGTTGTGTAACTTCATGTTGGGAAGAATACTTAAATGAAAGAGGCCAGCATATTCACTGGAAAAAATAACAAACAGACCTAATATTCCCCTGTCTCTATCTAAACAGAGTCAATATTTTCAAGTAAATGAATGATATTACATAATCTATGGAGCTATGATCCTGCAGTGATACCAATAAAGTATCACAGTGTGATCTTATAATCTTGAGTTGTTTCAAAGAAACAGTCTGATGACATTCTGACTTCTGAACTGAGAACACAACAGGGTTGACATGAGGCACTGTGTAATTCTTCCAAAAAAAACAGTAAAATCCAATAGATGTGACATTTCAGAAGCATGAAGGAGGGAAATTTCTAGAATACACTGCCATGGAGAAAATCATGTTCGGAAATGGAAGTCCAATATTTTCTATGAATGAATGAGTTATTTGTAACGAAGGTGCTAAACTGCTGAAATATGGTATATTATTAGTAAGCTTATTTATCAGCTGTTGAAATAGAATTTGTGCTTTATTTGATCAAAGCTTAAATATATATATATATATCACTTTAAAGTGAAATTGTTTGCAGTTATGAAAGCTGCTGCTATTGAAAAGTTCCATATATTTTGACACAAGACGGTCAGAATGTCTTAATCCAGTCCCAAAGGGTGTCTTGGTATACAATGTAACTCTGAGCAAACAACTTACAGCACTGTGACAGCTGGGAATTCCAGAATCTTTCTGTGTCACGGCTCAATATCTGATTATAATGCAGATGGCTATCACTCTAATACCTCACTATCCCACTCTTCACTGTTTCACCCACTGCCACTCTCTATAGAGGGGGCATGGCTTGAACAAGTGCCATAGATACCTGCACTGGAAAAATACAAGCAGCTTTAGATAGATCTACTCTCAGTATCAGATATCAAGCTGACTGTATCCAGTATCTCACTCTGAAAACCGGCAGTACCTCTTTCACAACATGCGTAACGTCTAACAAAAATCCACTTTGTTGTCCTTCTCCAAACTGACATTGTATGACAGGATCCATATTTCAATTTTAGGAGACGTACTGTAACAAAAAACTACAGACAAAATTACAATTCTACTCGATACTCCATATTAAACTACAACAAAGACATGGCTGCTATGTCTGCGATCACAGGAATTCAAATCCATGGCCTCGGCTTTCAGAGAAAACGACCAGCAATTTTAATATAATTGCCTTTCCAACAGTAACATCAATAGACAGAGTATGAGAGATTATCTGCTCTCTTTTCAAGAACACTTCTGCCACGGACTGTATATTGAATTCAGAAAGATATCATTTTCTGGTGGGATATAATAGCTTTTACAAGAACTACTTTGGAAATTTTTTTTTTTTTAAAAACTTGATTATTTTGGCTTTATCTCCTTTTTACTGGTTTTGGAAGACATAGAAATTCAGCTCCCTTACCTGAGTTCCCAGAGACTTGCTCATAGACAACATGGTGAGCACTGGCTGAAGTTCCATTGGCTTGGCCCTCTGTAGACGTCAGTCTGCAAGAAGAAGAAAATACACTGCAGTCATTCAAATACACAGGGGGAATAATCACAACATATTTATAAAAGTAGAAAACGCATTTTAATAATTCTTAGAAATAATCCTTGACAGTACCTTGGATATTCACTTTCTATTGGTTCATCCCCTGGGTAGAACAGATCATAGTGGCAAAAGGTCTGAAATGCTACAATATCCACCTTGTTCAATCATGAGCTGTAACGCTAAATCCCAGCCATGTAAGCAAGGAAATCAGGCCGTGGTTTTTCAAACCTAATAAGATCAGCAATGTTAATGGTGGCAGAGGGACACAATAAAACCGCTAACCGTGGATGGTCACAGAGATGACTGGTAAAGTCATGAAGTGATAATGAAAGTTTAAGGGCACATCCATTTGTGGGGGCACAACACTTCTACGAATGGTGTTTTTTTTCTGCCACATCCACAGTGTACTAGGTGGCCCCTGGACCAAGCAGCTGGGACAGCCCATGAGGTGGTGTGTGGCAGAGTAATTTTAGATGCACCCCTCTAAATGGAGGGTCTGGCGGCAGTGGGGGGTGGGGGTTGTGGCGCTATTTTCAGGCTCTGGAAAGCAGAGCTCCCTCAGCGAAATGTTTACTCAGCGCTTTTGTTGCTTCAGAGAAGCCTGCAGGAGACAGAATGTGTGTGGGTCACTGTGGCACCAGGGTCCCTACACACTACTCTTCCTGTGGGCTGGCAGGACTTTCATTCTCCTTCACCATTCTCGCAGGAGACAGGGGAGCATTCTTCTATAGCTTTCCCTCAATATCTGTGTAAACAGTGTGTATTTGAATATTTGTTCTATGTCTCTATTTTTTTTTTATCTGTGCAAGGTCATGGCGGTACAAAAGTCTAAGAGAAGAAATATAAAGAAAAATGAGCTATTCTGTTGTTTTTTGCTTAAGGATATGGTTAGTTCCATGCTTACAGAGAAATAGCTTGTCAAATAGTAGAACAAGATAAAGGCCGAGCATTCATAGAAGCACGAAACCCTATTCATACGTTTTGGTCCCTAGGAATATGATGATGTAAAAACTTTTTTAGACTCATCTGTAATTTTCTTGAAATATTCCAACTTTGCAGCAAGGTATACTGGGTTAACCATGCTTTGGAGAGAACTGTTCTGCAGACACGTCTGCCAGAAGCAGCACGACTGAGCTGACAGGGTGTCTGAAAGTGACACATCTGTCTTCATCCCTGTCTCGACTCCTGTGGTTCGGGGATGTCAACGTGGCTCTTCGTTCAAGTAGGAAAGACGCAACAAAGATTCTTTCACTGAAACCACAGATTTAAAGGGATCCTTATTCTTACGCCGGTGGGACTCAGCCACACACATTCAGTCATTCAGTCTTTAGGACTTCACCGTTCATTGTTTGAAACCGATTCCTAAAATGTGAGGCTTGGAGTTCGATTTAGGGCAAACTAAATTATTACCAATGGAGCACAAACAGATTCACAACAAATGGAAATGCATGAAATAGAAATGGCAGGGTGTAACACAAATACTAATTTAGATAAATCCAGCTCTTCAGCAAATGATTTCTAATTATTGTTATGATTCTTTCTTATAACAGGCCGTGTAATCCGTCTGTTGATTGCTTAAAAATCATCACCAGTGTTATTATCAGTGTGAAAATTATAAGCATTTTACTGTGTATACTTTCTTTACGATTGTAATGTTACACAACAAGATATAAAAAGAACTCCTTTAAAAGGATGAAAAGACACACTGATAATCATGATTAATAACAGCAGGGAAGTTAGGAAGGAGCACTGCACTTTTCCATAGAGGCTGGGCAACGTCGGCAATTTAAGGTTCATTTCTCTGTCTTTTTTCAACCAAATTACATGTATAAAACACTTAATTGGAAAAATCAGTCGGAAGGTGCTGAAATCCAGGCCCATTAATTCCTCCTGGCAGAGACAAAGAGGAGCTGGGTAAAGGGCTTGAGGAGGTTCTTCCCAGCATGAGCCCCGTGCTGATGTATCACCTGGCCGATGGATGAGGGGGCCGCCCTTTCAGAGTGATCCCACACAGCAGGTATTCATTACTCATCGAGTCACTGGCCGTGAATGAACTTGGACAACACTCCTTTATCTCTAAACAAATTGCTCCAGAATGCTCAAAAAAAGTGTAGTGGCAAGTCTTAGTCAAAGCTCTATAGTAAGTGTGCTAACCAGTTTTTAAACAATACATAAAGCTTAGCTGGCATTAACCTACAACCCCAGAGCCTGCCAAAGCTGTGCTAATGAGCTAATGAGGGCAGACAGGGCTTCCTTGTATAAGCTGCACAGCCCCCTCATTTAAATCATTTACAACAAAAAAGGTTGTAATGAAGAAAATAGGTCAATTACTCAATGCTTAGAATCATCTAAGGAGTTAAACAATTTTCCAGAGAGAGACTTAATCCTTACTTCACGTGCATTCACCTTGAAGTCTAAAAGAATACCCACATTATATTTGGAAATTACCAGGACAGCAACCTAATACTAACAGAGTCATGCAAATTAAATACATGGAATTCTGGATCATTCGCATGCTAGAAATCACGCAACTTGCTCTACTACACTGTATATCACAGCAAAACTTGTGTTCAGTTTTCAGTTCAGGAAAATAATCTCACTAACCAAAAAAAAATGAATGCACGCTTTTCAACAAAACAGAAAAAACACCTCTGAGCGAAACACATTTAAAATGCAGTGATTATGCTGTAATGCAAAGTAGTAGCATATATTTTTACTTAAAATAACAGTGGTCAGATTTAGAACATATTTGTTTAATCCTGCACTGAACTGAGTGCAGGACTTGGAACTGGCATTTTTTTCTTTAAAAAAAAAAAGAGAAACCATTCAGAGGTTTACAGTGTTGCTGTAATTGTCACGCTATTAGTAATGTGATACTTAAACCCCAGTTGCCCAAGAAACAAGTGTAAGCAGAACTCGCCAGACTTCCACAAATGCAATGAAAAACACGCACATTTATTTGTTTTACAAAGTGCTTCTTCTAAATCTGTAACTTAAGTCATCTTAAATGCGAGACCTCACGACTCCTTTAGTTGGCAGCTCTGTAAGGCCATTGACTGCTGTAGGTCCTGTCGAGAGTAAGTGATTGCTTAAGTCAAAAACGACGAAGCAGGGCACGAGTACACTGTTGAGCTTAAATAGCCGTTTTTAGTTCAGAGAGCGAAATATCCAGTTTAAAAAAGCAGTGGTACTGCTCTGTTCCTCCCTGAAATTATTTGATACACTATTACACAACAATCCAACCACAGATACATACACTCATTAATATCGAACTTTAGGTTTCTGAAACCGCACAACACACACAGAGGCAGACTTTCTCGGAAAGGGTGATTGTAAGAGAAAGGTCACTAAAGGCGGCAGTGAAACAGGCTGAAGGAGAGGACAATGAAAGAAGAATGTCCCCTGCTTGATAAAAGAAACCTCTGACAGAAAAGGCTGGCTAGTGATGCTTGATGGCACAGGATGTGTAGGCAACAGTGGGGCTGAAAAGAAGTGACAGGAAAAAATGGATGGCTAAGCTTTGCGAAGAAACAGCATCCCTCACTTCCTTCAAACCAGCCATGTTTTGTTCATGTTTCTCTTTTTAAAAAAAAAAAAGCTAGCCAAAGAATGGCATACATATATATATTAAAACATATACACCGTTTGGCACAGTGGCATGATGGTTGTCAGTTCTGGCTCATTTGCTCACTTGATCCCCACACTGCCGGGTAGGCTCCGATAATGGATGGATATATTTTAAAATTTTTAGGTTTCAAAATTTCAGACAAGCTCCAAAAGCATGCAAAGTCTATTATTTTTTTAGCCTTCATTGTAATGATACAGAACATGTTATCTAAACAAAAACTGATGAGCTCGTCCTGTCGGCCAGTGCAATGAGCCAGTTTCTTTTCTTACCTCTTTTCTTTAACCCCCTTGCAAGCCAATTAAGTCCCCAGTGAAAACTGGGCACGTAAAAGACAAGGCAGAAAATACGTTCCACATATCTCAGAAACACAGATGATCCATTTTACTGACCTGATAAAAGTCAAGTTCTGCAATGTTAACTCACACTCTGATATGAAGAAGAAAGTACCTTTTCCCACTGTATTTTTAGTGTCCTACACTGACCAGCTCAATGAAATTTGAATAAGACATTGTAGGTCCTATTAATTAAAATAAAATGCAATAGCAATCTCAAATCAAAACAAGTGCTGTTACTTTACTTAACCATTCAATATTGTGAGGAAAGTAACAGCAATCACAATGACCAAATACAGAACATATATCTTATAACAGCAGCAACATTTTTTGTAAGGGGATTTTCTTGTGTGAATAAGGCAAACAAGCACATGTTTATCATTTGCAGACCTCATAAAATTGCAATTGTAGTTTTCGTTTCAAAGGGAACACGCTTAAAGGGTTGTTATGAGGACAAAATGGAATTGTAAACAGCTTTTAATATACGGTCCTAAATTAAGGCACTCAGGAAAAACTGCTGCATGGGGAGAAACTAAAGGTGTAGTGGAGAAATAAATAATGCCACATTAACTGGAATAAAATCATAGGAAAAAATACTCCCAGAAGAATATGTTTCTATTTAATGGAAACAACTTCCCCATCATTCCCTTTTCTGTGTCCTTTGGATAATAATTCTTTATTTCTGAAGAGATCCTAGCCTTTTATTTCTCTCGGTACATTTTTTGGTCTTAAGGTTTCCATTTTTCCCACACTCTCCCCTGTCACACAGGGCTAACCACAAAAATGTAGGACAGTTGAGTGTGTGAGGGGGCCTGGAATTCCGCATGAGGAGGGTAAACATTCTGACTGCCAGGAAAGCACACAGAGGAGCAAACACTTCACCTACCAGCCTCCTTAACTCTTCACCAACTGCACAACCCCTGAAAAGCCAACCTGTGACTCAAGCTATATTCCACTGCCTGGGAGAGAGAACCAGGTTGGGTATTTTCTCAAAATGTCAGGATCTCAGAAGAGTCACAATAACTTCATGTTTGTGTTATAGTTATAAATCCACAGTCTGCTGATAACATGATGAAACAAAAACAAGTGTATGGCTATTAAATGCTATGCAACATTGCAGTGCTAGCTTTAAAATGTCTTATAAATATGGGCGGTCCTACTTCATTTCCTACTACACGCTAATACATACCACAAAAATTTCACTGAACCGGGACTTGGCAGTGAGTTCAAATCCTCTGGACTGACAGTGATCAGAATGGATTTGCCTCACACAGGATGAACTGCCTTTTCACTTACTGGGTAAAGCAGCCCTCCATTTAAGACATGTGCTTTAAACAAACAACTGTTGCTATCACAGAATTTTGTGTGATTGTTGTGTAATTTGGCCAGATGTTCTGTAATAAAGTCATACTGCAGCGTGGGAAACAGATGGCAGTTTGTGCTAACTTTTTCTCTTTTTTTAATCTCCAAGCAAAATAAGAGCTCCACAAGGTTACCAGCAGACCCCTGCAGCTGAACAGTATGGTGTTTACTGATCCTCCACAAATCTCCAAGTCTAAAGCAGAGAACATAACCTTCCTGCAACAAAATTGAGATAAAAGCCAAGGAACTCACCTAGCTCTTACCCTGCTCTCACGCAATAATTAATTTTGCAAGTGCGGTGAGAAAGGATTCTCTCTGAGCAATGGTGCTTTGAGGGCATTACAGATTACAGGTACGAGCAGGTGCCATAACCCTCATCTCATTAAATCTAAAATTTTACTCCTAAAACAGGATTGTCTTGCTTCAACGTGATAAAATCGACTGAGATCTAAACTCAATGACCACATGGCAGAAGGTCAAACAGTACGCGTTCAAGCAGCAAGAAAAGAAAAGCAGGCTGCTCAAAACTGAAATGGCTCTTACTTGACGAGGCGCTGAGTGGCTGTTTTCCTGGTGATGCCCTCCCTGTTGATGGGTGGTTTTGGGGCCAGGACAGGAGGCGGCTTCAGCCTCGGTGGGTGGGCAGCCCAGGCAGAGCTGCTGTGGAGCCCCCCCTGCCACGGACTTGATGCCCCGGTCGACAGCGACGTCAGTGCTGCAGGACTAGGGGGTGCAGGCTGTGGTGCCAGGATTGCCTGGAAGTTCAGGAGAGACGAATGCCTTGTGATTACGTTGCTGGAATATAACGTCACGTTTTTTTTTTTCTTTCCATACGTGCATAAAAAAAAATACGTTTATACAGTGGTCCTTTCAGACACTGACCCACACCGCTAAGCTCTTTTCACACAAAAGTTTCAGAGATTGGCTGCAGTTCTTTAAACTCCGGCTAATCTCTGTAATTCAGCACATCAGCACTAAAGAATAATATTTATAGGGGAAAGGCAACTCAAATAAAAACTCACAATGTAAACTAATCTTTCATGTAAAGATTATGAACCAATATGCTTTCAATTTAAAACAGAAGCAAAATATACATGCACACACTCACACATCTATAGTCCAATCATTGTCCTCTTTCCCAGAATGAATTTTGAAAGCACTGCAGCATGACATGAGATATTTTAAAACTATTAATGTGTTGATAAATGAAATGCTAAATTTCTAAGTCAGAAGGTTCGTAACTATGTAGTAGTTTAACAGGGCCAGGAAGGGCACCTTTCTTTGCCTGCCAGGTGGCTAGACGCCAGCACTAGCAAGGAGCCTTACAGTCTGCACCCAGTAACTGGAACAAGGACCAGAGCACCAGCGCAGCAAACAAAACAGCAGAGGAGTTCTGAACTGCACATTTGCTTCTTGTAATGGTATCTGAGCACATTTGTATATGCAACATTTTAAAATGAAACACCCTGGCACAGACTCCCAGTGTTTATTGCAATGCTAAAATCCAGTTAGTTCAAAAAAAATCTCTGCTGTCATCATAGAAACCTTTGCACACGATTTATGCTGTGTCTGTTTTTTTGCAGCTCTCAAAACAATGCACAAAGACTAAGATTCAAACTGCTAAAACCGCTGTTTCATGTCTTATCTAGGATTGTGGTGCACTTCCAGCAACGGCTTTCCGAGAAACATCTGTAAACATCTGTGTCCAAATCGGAACTCTTCTGTGCATCCGCATTTTTTAGTGACTTAATGAACCAATGACTTTAGAAATTAGCCTTTTAATTGACCCCACTGAGGCAATTGTTTTTTTCTTTCTACAGCCATTCTCAACTGTAAAGAGGTGGGGCTGGAGATGACACATGCTCCACTGAGGTTAGTACAAGCCAATTAATCCTCAAATTTAGGAGCCAACTGTGCATCTGGCAGAAAGCAATCAGGATAAGATCCTTATTTTCTAATCTCCCATGAAAACCACTAAATATGGTGCATAGAATGACCCTCTAGTTCACTTTAAAAGCATTTCTTAAACTTCACCACTAGTTTTGAATGCTGACCTTCAATACTTCATTTAATATATATTTGCATGTCTCTCTTCCATAGTGCCAAGAAGAAAACTGTCATTTAATTACCATATTTTGAAAAATGCTTGATTGTACATGGCCTTTATGATTATAAAACAGCACATAACGTAGAAAAATCACAAGAGATTGTTTCAATATCTCTGTATAATATTTCTATGGTGAGGTATTTCACAGCAGCTCTTTCAGATTTTGGAATTTAAATTATTCTTTCATGATATCTAGCCCAAAAAGGTGAATAAAATTAAGCTCTAGTTAATACAATATAGTACACAGCTCCTCTAGACTATACAATCTCTGCTCTTTTCCACCCCTCAGTAGAGTTTTCTGCATTCAGAAAGTAGACTTTAAAGAGGACCACATAAAAGAGGATAAAAACAATATTTTAAGAAATATAAAGCAACTGTGAATGAAAAGAAAACATTTATCAACAGAAAAAAAGAACAGAAGGAAAAGAGGAATGAGAGGAAAGAGATAAACAGGAGACTGAGGAGGAGAAAGCTTTAATCCAGGGAGGTCTGGGTTGTTGGGCTAGTTTCAGGGAGTCGGAAAGGCCTGCCAGTATTTAGAAATTCTCGCTGGAACCATAAAATTAATTTTCATACCACATTCTTAAAATAAAAGAATACTGATAGTTTGATTGTGATAGAGAAATATACGTTTTTTTCTCCTATGGACCTGTTTCTCTGTCCGTTTTTAAAATGAATGTGTAATGTGCAAATAAAAACACACTGATGTTATATATTGTGTATTTTAAACTTGAGATCTTTTTGGCCCGCAGAACTGGAAGGGCACTGCATGATGTGAAAAATTAACACTTGTCAGCCTTCATCTTTCAATCTCAAGGTGATACAGAAAAAATAAACTGAAAAGATCCGTATGATGAAAGCCCTGTAATAGGTAAGGAAGTAAAAAAAAAACATTGAAATTACCAAAAAAATTATGCATTTAGAATTTCTTTAATCTTCTTTTTTCTTTTAATTCTTTGAAAAATGACAAATGTCAATAATCCTGCTACCCACTTACGGCTTGGAATCCCTGATGATTTGTGGAGCTCTGTGACCCACAGAACTCTCTTCAATTAGTCTGAGGGAGGGGATAGCGGTTACAAGGATCATTTTCACAGAAACTATTGCGTAACCACTCAGTCTTTTGCCAAAGAAAACATCACCTCACTCACATTAATTAGACCAAACCTCAGCAGAAATACTGACGTCATAAGCAACTGCATTTTTTTTAAATAACTGTATCTAACAGTTAGATCCAAAGGGTTTTTTTTTTGTGTTTTGGCCATTACAGACTCGACATATGATCCCATATCAACTGTCAACCATGTGCAGAACTACTACAGGAAACAAATAAACACTATCTTTGCACATTTGCTGAAGAGAAGACCAAATTCAAAGTTTTTTTAACCAAAAAACAACCCAAATACAATCATATTTGAACACTAGCAGCAACCAACAGGAGAAAATAATGTATTGTTAGCTTTGATTTTTTACCAGTGACAAAAACAAATGTCCTTGTCTTGTCCACAAGGCAGACCCAACTTCTGTTAATAATGTAAGGTCTTTGCTCAGCAAATAAATCTGTTTGAAGAAATTATCTTGAAAATTAACGTCATTCCATTCTGTCTCCTGAAACGATGGCCTTTAGTGAGGTCATGTACAGACCCCCTAGGCTGTGCACCATCCTTCAGGCCCAAGGTTCAATATTTGCCAAAGGGAAATAACAGACTGACAAAATGTCAAAACTACCCTCTCATTAAAGCTGTACAAAGGAGAGCAAAGGTAGAAAGAAAATTCTGGTTCTGAAAAATTACAGTTGCTTTCAAGGAATGAGATCCCTTGCCTTATAACCATGTTCCCGCTGGATTCCATTGTGCTGGTGGTTTGTGCAAAAATTCCCGGAATTTTTTTTGCTAATGTTAACAGAAGATTTTCCTAAAAGTGCTAGACAGTGTGCAAGCTTTTAACAGGGATTTGGACAATATCATTGTTTAAAAAAACAACACATTGATATTCCGCAGACAAAAGACCTCAATCCAGAGGCTTCCTGACTTTTCTCAGCAGAATCAAATTTTCCTGTCTTATAATTTAATAGTGCTTAGAAGTCTTAAGTGTTTACATCTAAGCTTTATTTGAATAAGGTTTAAACATCAGGGGAAAAAAATTACAGCTTCTTGCATTTCTTTGAACCTAAATCAAAGAAAATCAAGATTGGTATTAAAATGTTTTTGACACAGAAACACAATTGAAGTCCCAGGGTTTGGAACACGCAGCTGTCTTCAGCCTCCTCCAGCTCTGCAAAATTGAACATTTTTCTACTCACCCTTCACACCACTTTTCTTTCAGATTTTAATTTGGTGTACAGAAACGCCTCGGCATGAAAAGGAAAAAAGTACCATGTTGTCGTACCTGGTGCCGTGCTCGGCTGTGGTCCAGCAATTGGCGGGATTGTAGCTTCTGTTGCTGGAGTTGCTGGATTGCAAACTGGAGTTGGTAGCTGCCGGTGGTAGGCTGGTATCTTTGCTGTGGTGAGACCCCTGTGACCATGCTGTATGCATGTTCTGTTTCTCCTTGCCATGTGCTGTCATCATCTTTTAAGGAGCTGTAGGAAGGTATAAATGATAGCTGGCCAAGATATAACCACACTCAACACAAAAGGATCCACAAACACCCAGGCTGCTGAAGCACGAAGGCCCAATCTACACGAAACGAGATTTTGCCAAGTGAATCTCCTCCAATATTCAATGAAGGCTAATCTCCCACTTTTTTCATCTCTCCTTTTTTCTATACCTTCTTCATTTTTCATCTGGTTGGAATTGCCTTGTCTCAGAAACATATGCATGGAAAGGCTTCTCATTAATATAGCGTGGGGGGGAGTTGCAAGAACGACATGTGAAAATGGTTTTAACCAGCAAAGGAATCCTACAAAGTTTTCTTTGGAATGATAAACAAATAAAAAAATAAGAGAGCAAATAGAAATGCTCAGTAGTTCCATCCAACTAGGCACCGCATGGCAGAAGCAGTTAACACACCAAATAATCTCTCTGTGAAGAGCAGCAGTCCACAGCACCCACAGCCTGGGCTCTGGCCCTCTCACATCACAGCCCGTTTGTATTGGCACACTGCTCCCAGGCTGAATAGATTCTCCTTTTTCTCGAAGAAACCTTGAACTCAGTGCTTTCAGGCCTCACTCCATCTTAGCAGTCAGGATAGATAACAGACCACAACAGCAGGGAAAAAAGAGGATTTCACATCATCGTCATCATCATCATCCAAACACTGCGATGTCTTTCGAATCCAAATAACAAGACAAATTAAAACTAAGACTAATGTGGCCTTAACTCACATAAATGTAGTCACGTTACTACATGTTAAATGACAGCAGAGGTCTGCCTCCTATAACTGAGTCAGACACCTGATCAGGATACTTCAAAATCTCATCCACAGTGGGTAAGAGAGCAAATAGGTTTCATCTATTTCTAGAGATTTGCCCTGGCTTCTCTGTACACCAGGTCACATTGCATTCTAAAGCAATTAAGGCTTCTTTATCTGAATGGCAGCAATAAAACAGCAAGTAAGGCAGAAGGGTATTAAGACAAAGTTAATACCATCATCTAGACTGAAATTTAAACTGTCAGTGTTAACCTGAAGTTTAAGGGTATTAACAATCATCCTGTCTTGCTTTTTTCAACATGTAACTCAATGTGAAATATGACATTATGTAAATTTAATACTCCATTTACCAACTCAATGTTTGATGGCACCTGCACGGGTTTATAAATACATCTTACAGCTCCAGCAGCCAAACTACTATCTTGTTCAAAAAAAGAGGTCAGGGAACTGATAAAGCCCTTTATTACTGTAGAAGGTGTTCATGAACTTTTTCTATAAATTAGACAAAAATGAATAAATGAATAACAGTTGGAAAATAAAATTCCAACCATTTGTAACACTGCAGATGGTGCTAGCAACGGAAAACAGTACAGGTGTAATTTTAGATAAAAACTGTCAAATTATATTCCAAAACAATTTAATAGCAAAAACGACAATTTCACTACATGTAAACTGAGATGAAAGCAATGAAAAACTGCATTAATAAGCTTAAGAATATTGTGAAATAAGGAAATATTTAAATTAACGTGGTTAAATTGGGAACGTCATAACCATAAACAGATTAACTGGAAAAAGACAAGCAGCTAACCAATAGCTAGTCATAACTATAGAGAGAATTACAAGTGAGAATGGTGAGAATTTCATCTGAACTGACTTGCTTGTCATTATGTAAACACAAAGCGGTCTCTTTTCAAACCAAAGACACTATGAAAACAGTGGCAATTTTTTAAAGAAACAAATAAATCAAACCAAACTGCAAAAAACTGGGTAAGAAGGGCTGCCAGACAAAGCAAAATTGGTCATTAGATTATCCAAATGCTACTTTAATTTAAAGATCCTAATCCAACAGGCCTAGAGAAGAGGGGCAGCTTCCTTCCAACAGCATACGATACAGTACCTATAAAGCCTGGTATAGCTGAGGTTTCCCTCTCTCAACTGAGTTTCTGTATCACTATAGTGATTAGAATATGTCTGTAAACTATTTCACAAGACCATTTCATTAAATGTTCTTATGGTCCAGAACACTTCAACATTCATGTGTTAACCCTTGCATGGACAAACATAACAACACTACAATACTTAATAAATATAATATGTGTGAGATTTGATTAGCCTTTGCAGCCTTCTGTGCAGTATGTTTAAAGCCCCACAATAAAATTATTATTCCATGTATTACTATTAGCTTTTAACTTGAATTGTTTAAAAAACCTGCTTCTTGCATACAGCATATTCTGAAACGCATATCGATATCCTTTACTTCAATGTAAGGCGTGGGTATTTACAAAAATATAATTTTAAAATGGTATCCGTACACTCAACTTACGCCATACCTCAAAGTACATACAATATGGAACAATATGGAAAGCTCCAAGCCACCATTTCATGATTTCCATCATCGATTTATTTTCTTTCTTGGTGTCTGCACTGAAAAGCATATCCGTGAATGATATGCAACACAGAATGTATTGTTAACACACTTAATGCCAGCAAGAATACTTCAGAGACATAGTGGAATCACTGGGCAGAGAGAGACAGCTTGACTGCCCATTTTGGATGTGCTTGACTGACAAGCCCTGGAAAACGAGAGGTTAACTCCATCAGAACTGTAAGTGCTGCCACTACAATGTCTCAGTCCATTCATTAACACATTCTTATTATCTGGTAGTGGAATTTCTTTAGTGCATACCCCAGGGAACGCCTGGTGCAAAGTATCACATCTGGTTCCAATTAAGGTGAATAAAAACCTTTTTATTAAAGGAGGACATCAAACAAAAAAATCCTTTCCTTGCTTTTTCCATTCAGCCTTAAGATTTTCCTTCCTTTACTTTTCAGATGGGCTTACTTGGATCTGCAAAGCAGCTGATGTCGTATTCCAACAGCTTTGATCAGCTTATCTACCATTTAATTGCGAGTCTTGAAAACGCAGAAATATTACAGTGAACAAAAACAGTCTACCACTATGTTCAGCTCAACTCTTACATACCATACTCTTGGTGTGGTTGATGTGGCAGCCTATTCAAGGAAGTCAAATGCTTCTCAGCTAATTTATGGACCTGGACAATGATCGATGCAAAGTGGTGAAAACAAGGAGATCAGTTGGGAAACAGAACTGATGTAAACAGAAACGTGATGGAATTCTCACTGAAAATGTACATGTAATAGACTGATTTGAGGCACACTGCGTACAACACAGAAACAGGGATTCATCCTAGAAGATGTACAACAAGTTACTTCTGGCCTCAAGCGGACTAGAATAATATAGTGTGAAGTCATTTTATTTCTATTTGCTCAATCAATTGCGTAGATGTGTTAAAGACAAATAACTCACTAAAGAAAGTGCCACACAAACTAATGAAGTATAGATTTAAGCATCTAGTTTACAGCAATCACAGTATTTTAGGCATGGGTAATTCTGCCATTTTGTTTTTACTTCTCAGCCAGGAATGAAACAGATCTTTCTAGAGTATTTCCAGTTCACTAAACAGCGCACAAAGAGTTAATGCCATAAATATAGATTGTTTTTATAAATTCCACTGTACTCTCACAGGATTATATGAAAAACTGAGCATAGGAACCATTTTCAAACCGCTGAGGCAGCATACCTGGCAGATACTGGAAACACACTTCAAAGGGATCATTTCTCTTTGAAACCCATCACGCTACACCCCCGTGGTTTGCTTAAAGAGCCGGTACGCTTAACGGTTTCAGTATGTTTGGCAAAGACCACCGGCCCCAGCGCAGGGACTCAGGAAATTATACATTAAAGAAACAGTATCATTTCTAAATCAAAGCATCTGCACCTTATATCTCATTAAAGATGTAGTATTATTCTAAATCTCGTACAATAACAATTACAATTACAGCAATAATATTAATAAGCTGGTAGATTTACATCAGAAACAGTTAAACTGTTTGACACAGGAAAAAAAGCAACTATGCAGAGTTAAATCCAGAAAGCTATGTCACTGTTACTGATTATTATCAGAGAGTGGGGGGAAAAAAAGGAGTCAGCGGCTACTCTTGTCCAAAAAGGGATCACTGTGTGGCAACACAAGGATCCAGAAACACTGGTTTATTTGTTAAATTTGTTTATCTTAACATTAAGAGTAAGCTTAACATGAACAAAGGAGACTTCTACAAAGCTGCAGTGTGTGGTAAGATTTAACAAGCATGGTTCATATTAAAGCCGATGAATAATCCTCAGCTACCTTTGTTACTTTCACAATTTCTTTACCAAAAAGATAAAAATGGCCTTGTACAAGTTTACTTTTTCGAATGACGGAATATTGGTAGACACTGTTATTTGCTGAAATGACACTTTCTGAAATTCCAACATCTCCTCTCTTGCTTTTTTAACTTGTGCGTCTACCTTTAAAAATAATAAAGGGCTAGAATAAGTGTTTAGTAAATGGAATGGATTATTACTATCCACTTAAGTATTTTAGTCTTCTACTAACAACTGCAATAAACGTCAAAAACTAAAGCTGGTGTCTCTGCGGAGGTTAGGAATCATTTGCAAAATCAATATGCGTTATAAATTGGACATTTCCTGACATAGTACTGGAATCAAGTAATACAATACAAACACTAAAATGTATGCGGAATTTTGGGAAGGGAAAATAAAAAGAGCAGGCACTTCTTCCAGAATGGCTATTTAGGCCTCTAGGAAGTCACTCTGCTTCTCCTTTCAAAAGGAAGGTGCACTTACGTCTATACAAATCTGATAATACCTGCAGCAAATTCAGTTCATTTTTCCTGCCTGTAATATACATTTTGAAAAAAAAAATACTTTTAATAAAAAAAAAACTTTTTTCCCCTCTTTTCTGGAAATAAAAACATTCTAAAAAGGGAAAAAGCCAGACATTCCAGGAATTCCCTGACAGTTCCATACATAAGGAAGGGCTGGACTGGAAAAACATAAAATTGGAGATCTGGGCCAAACTGTCTGAGACACTGTCACTCACGTATCACTGAAAAAATAGAGAGCACCCGCACGCAGTTAACCCTTCCAGCACTGTCCATTTGATAATTAATAGACCACCTAAAATGAAAACTGACCTCAACCTGTCATATTTGTAAATGTCAAACAGTAAAACAAAACAAATACACTCATATTTCCATCCTCTTATACAGGTACATTTCCATGGTTTTGGCATGCTTGTTTTACCCCATCTTCCTCAAAATGATTGAAAACACAATATGCAACAAAATATCCACACAAAACTTTGGAACTGAAGTGTGCACTTTTTTCAGAAGACAAAGCAGCGAGCTGTGCTAATGCATCTGCATCTGCAGGCAACTCCCTTCCTATTCTTCCAAATATCCTTTTTATAAATTAACAATCAAATAAGTCATTTGATTTGCTCACTTCAAGAAAAAAAACATGTTTAAAGTACACAATAAAAGTACTTGCTAAATCCAACAGTTCTACAATTTAGGATACTCCTTTCCTAGGACCATATAAACTTTCATTTTTACTTTAAACATCCTTTAGAGACTATTAAACTCTCCCTTAACTTTTATTGACTGTGACCTAATACCCCAAACTAAGCACCAATAAAATTGCACAAAGTTGATTACACACAAAATCTTCTCATTGTTAATTTGCCTTTAGAAAGCAATTCCTGTGCAAACTGGGATTACTAATCCTTGTCAAGAGTAAATTAAGCCCATGTGAACTATTCAAGGTTAAGCTTTTTTGTTTCCTGCAAAGCAAAGATCTTTTGTTTCATTGTCTCTCTAAGTAAAAGAATGACTACTTCATGTACTTTTATAAAATACACTTCAAAAATCCAATTTCTCCGAACATGTCTGAACTGCAGATGCCAGCAGTACTAGGAAACATGTGGCAAGCACTTAATTAAATTTACTTACTCTATATAGCTGGAAAAAGCCTGCACAAGAAGCAAAAGTCAGAAAACATCATATAATTTCACAAATAGGCAACAATATATTTTTCTGCCAACGATAATAGCTTACAGAACACAGAGAAACATCTAGAATGCAATATCTGTACATAAAGCATTTTATAATAATACCAGTCAGCAGATCTGACTTCTATACATTAGTATAGCAGTGCTCTTTCAATTATTGTGCTGCAATTAATCTGTTGGACAGCATGTAGTGCTATTCTGAGATAACGTAGAAGAATCGTCTCTTTACTACATGATAGCTTAATGATGCAGTTAACTGATGGGTAATTTTACAATTAGACTCAGCCATCATCTTTCAGAATTATATGAAGGCGTTCTCCTAAATCAACTACTGTAAATAATCGATCAGTAAATTACAGCATGTTATAAAAGATGGAATTACAAGGTTGTGAGGTACTGCAAAGACTTGTTTCTACAGGTGTGGAACACGACAATTTTTTGTTAAAAACAAGGATGGACCAAATTCAGAAATTAATCCTGAGATAAGCCTGTCTAGTACATCAGTTAATATCCCACACAGAACCTTTGTGAGAAAAACATTGTGCATTCACTGTGATCCTTTGCATATTGGTATTATACCAAATTTGCTCTTCCCAATTATATGCAGCAGCCCTACATTTCACAGATTCCAGTCTCTCTTGGTGAAGAATGGCTGTTTGCTTTGGAAGTGAACCCTGGGGAGACAGCAATGCACCATTCTCTTAGAGCACTCTGGAGGGCAAATACCACACTGTACATGAAGAACTGTATTAAAAAGGAAAACAAAAACAGAGGTCTTTTAAGGGAATGTACATGTAGCTGATTGATATAATGATTTTTTTTATGTGGGAGACAGAATGCATTATTGCAGCAGTAGGCATCCAAAGACTTCTGTTCTTTGAAGCCTCCTTTGATTGTTATGTTCAAAGTTATATTTCATTAAAATAAACAGATTGGCATTAATAAAACAAAAATATACTTCTGCTTTTTATAGCGTCTGTACAGATGGGGTTCCCCTTTCAAAATCAGGAGACTGACAACTGTCATAATTGAGTTCCTGATAGATCAAAATCAAACATAGAACTTCATGATCTTTGTAAGCATCGGTATATATTTAGACACACTGTTTTTCTAGCTATCTGGAACGGAGGCTTAAAGATCCCTGAAGCTACAATCACAAGCCTGGCTTTTCATTCACTGTCTTGATGACCATAACTCGGCAGAGTATATGCTGAAAAACATGTATTCATCAGAAGCTCATCCATTAGTTTCAGTAAAATCTTCATGTAAAAAGTTCATCTGTGGATTGTTTAACTGATGTATAACTGCATAACTGCTGGGACCTCATCGTGGCAATCCAGAACCCAGTGTCTCAAACAGTGGACATGTCTCCTCAGCAAAGCTAAGGCTTCTGATCCTATCACAGTAGACAGTAGCAGCCAGTGAGCACTACTGGACACAGTTGCTATAACTGTGTAAAGGCTCAAAAACGAGAGAGACAGCTGTTTCATTTTAAACCTGGATTCCTCCCATGATATTGAAAGCACAGGATCACTCCGTCATTTTCTGTGCCTGTTTAATAAGGGTGGCTGTTCATTTTGAACATTCATCATGAATAGGTTACCAGATATTGGCCAGCAACAATTTACACTTGTTGGATACTCATTCTTTACTTTCTGTCTTTTCCTGTGGAAAACGTACTTTAAACATCAGCATTTTGGTACCATATAAAAAAAACTACTTAAAGCACAATTTAAAACATGAAAAGTTGACAGATAAGATAATTCCTCCATTTAAATATACTGAATGTCAAAAGAAACTTCTTGCTTTATTCCTGCATCATCGTTTGAAGCACAAAATATAGTTGTTGATTTTCTTTAAATGTTTTGATGTTATTTTGATTAATTTAGCATTCTTGACAGTGATATACTCCAGTGATTTTGACTGTTGCATAAGCACTAAATCACCTCCTGGGCACAGGTGATGAGGCAATTTAAACTGCTAAAGGTCAGCTCTGGTAAAAATCAAGAAATGAGCCAGTAAGCACCAATTATTCTGCGCATAATGCCTTTGTCCCAACAGTGCGTTGGAGGCTATACTAAAAGACACAGGTACTGTAGACTTGCGTGCAGTGAAGCCAAAATTCCTTTAGAGGTTAATAAAAGTTTACACAATTTTTAGTACCCACTGATGGATATTCAAGCATGACATACAGAATGATGCACTTACTGTCGTGCAGAACAAACCATTTTAAATCCAAATACCACGGTCTGAGCATTGTCCAGTCCTTACAGAACTCCACTTCAAATGAGGGCAAACCTGAAAGCATGGTGCCACATTGATCAAGTCCCGAGACCTCACTTGCCTCTAAGCCCATCCTGACATGACAAAATTCCAGCAGGCCAATGCATGTTCTCATGATGCTATTGTATCAGCAGCTTTCTTGTGAGATGTGACAGCTGGTGTCTATAAATTTGACTGAGTGTGTGCCCTGTGATGGACTGGTGTTCCATCTGGTGCCTTACTCTTCTGCTATAGACTGCAGGTTGCCGAGTCCCTTACCAGGAAATTGTTATACTCAATTCAAAGTATTATTATTACAGCACACTATTTTTATTAATATTTGTTGTTGTAGTACCACAAATTGTAAATGATTTTGAATTTAACCTTAACAATGTATTCTACGGTAAACTTTTCCAAAAACTGAGATAGTTTCAGTTGGCTGCCTGTTAGCTGAAGAGCATCTTTTTGCTTCCAGATTCTGCAGACGGCTAACTTCTGAAACTCCCACATGACTGCAGCTTCTCATCTTTTCTGCAAGGAAGAGACATCTTGGCATTTCGTCTGTTTGTTGACAAAAGCACATTTAGCAAGGAAGCAGGAGGACATGCCCATGCGAATGCCACAGAAATACAGCTGTGCAAACCTGGATGAATGCCAATGATTCAACCAAAAAATTTACAGGCTTCCTTTCTCGTGTACTTTATCGCAGATTGGCATGACCAGTTTTTTTATAACTGAATCGTGAATACAGTAAATGGAGTTTCGTTAAACAAATGACAAATGAAATGTGGTTAAGCATATTCATTATTGCTTCATATACGCAACAGCTGTGGTGCTTCTACTGGAGTGGAAAACATGTGGATGAACCATTCCCTGGGCAACGTTGTCTGAAAGAGGCTGTTGTACCATCAAGCACTTACTGCTTTGTTTTTTTCCTGTCGTTTTGCAACGGCACGGGCTATAACACTGCAGTTAGCAACACTTTTCCACTGAAAAAGACTGAAAAACAGAACCATTGTTCATTTCAATTGTGGATCACGTGTGCTGTATGTACTGCTGTTCAAATATTTTGGCCCAGTGGTAGAGCAAAAGCAGAAAACCACCAAAAGTACCCCTTGATTGTACTTGAAAAGCATTCCAGGAGGTAAGCAGCTAGACTTTGATATCTGAAAAGATTAGTCTAAGAGGTGGCATGACTGTACAATGCAAGGGCCTGCTGGGCAATTCATGATGGCTCTCTCAAACACAGAGTACCTCCACCACACTCACACCCATTCTCTCACTACTAACTTCCAGAAAGCCCTTTATGTTATTTTATTGAACGACAGAAAACTTTCCCGCAATCAGTAAAATGCTATTCCTTCACAAGGGTGGCCCTCTTTTCTCTGCAAAAGATGTCTGAAGCAGCGCACCTGCTCCATGACCCCTATTTTACTTACACTTAATAATGACTACCCTGGCAGTAATCCAAAGTTTTAAGCACGGCATTTCTCTTTATAAACTCAACCCTGTGGATCCATGCTTCAGCATCGTGAGAAGTGGCCACAGCAGTTCATTTTAGACATCCTGGGCGAGTGATCAATTGCCATTGAAGAAGTTATTCAGAGGCACTGAAACACTGCACAAAGACCTACAAAAAATTGCAGCCGCACAAAAATCAAAGAGCCAAAAATAAAAAAATCAGAGTTTTAAAGAGCCAACATCCACCTTCTAAGACGCTGGGAATGCATCTGCAGAGTGATGTACAAGTTGGATTTGTAGTTGAAACCTACCTCAACCCGCTGGTGAGAGTGGTGTCCGAACGGACAGCTCTCAGAGGCCCTGGAGTGACCACACCTGGACGGACTCCAGGATTCAAGGCAAAGCTTCCTCGGCCTGAAGCACCACTTGCGAGGTTAAGGTTGCTCAACTGTGAACCAAAGACACACAAACTCTTAAAATCGAATCTGAATCTGAAGTGGAACAACTGAAAGTTTATTCCGGGCTGAAAAGAGAAGAAAAGAAACACAACATTTTGGCTGTGGAGCCTTCTTCGGGTGTATGAAAACTCCACAGCCGAAACGTTGCGTTGCTTTTCTTCTCTTTTCTGCCTGGAATAAACCTTTACTCCTTCCTTTGCAGCCTACGCATGTGGACGCAGCTACCTACTTGAACTGAATCTGAAATGCCAATCTGAATTGTGAGAATTTGGATTTAAAAATATCTTTCACTAAAGCAATTCATGAAAACCAATTATTTGTAGGAGACTTTATATTCTCTTTATATTACATGTTGAGCTAAAACATATTTGAACCTTAAACTGTATGAAATCTCTTGATGCTTACACTCGTTAACTTGGAAGCAGCAACTAATATTTTAGTTCTGACATATCTGGTAATATCTTGTGTGGTAAAACTGATTTATCCATCATCCAGCAAAATGTACACAGAACAACTTGGAGCTAGGCTCCGCTTGCCTCTAAAGGCAGGTGGTCTTTACCTCCAGGAGGATGATGATAATTTTTCACCAATTTGTTTACAACCGGAACAGACCAATTAGCACTGATGTACTGTCTCATCTGCTGGTGAGACAGTGAAAAAACAGCCTCTCTGGCTGTGGTTTAACAGTTCTGTTACATACAGAAGGCAATTATTAAACTGGAATTTAGTGGAAATTAAAAATAATTATACACATTATTATTATCCACAAAGAGAGCAATTAGAGCATTTTATCTGATGTCTATTCAAATGCTATTTTTAGATTCCAAATGTATTTTTTTAATAATGAAATGCCTGGGGTGCAGGACAAAATTAAACTGTTTTTAAAATAAAAGAAAACAATAATAGAGGCATTTTTCTACATTTACATCAGATGTAATCCATTTTAATGACTGTTATTTTTCAGACATTTAAGAAAATAAATATAAATTTATTTTTGTACATTTTTAAATTACAGAATGCTGTTCACTATTTCATATTTCTGGGCAGGCGAGTGAATTATCTAGGTGGCTCTAATGCAGGGGAAAGGCGAATGTTACACATTCCTTTAGGACAGGTGTTTAAATTAATGAAAGAACTGCCACAATGCAGCAGAAGTAGAAGACTTATTAGTGCTCTATTTTAATGTTCTATATTTTCCTCTAAGGAATTTTATTCTTAAAAGGGCATGAAAAGTAATATCAAAATCAGTTATTGTCTAGCTGCAGATTTACAGTGACTATTGTGAAACTGGTCCAAAAAAGTTATTTAAATAAAAATGTATTTTACAGGGTCATTTTATTAACCACAAGCATATTATCAAATGCTGTTATTACTTGAAAACAATTTTCACTTTTCCTACCATTAGTTCTACTGAATAAATACAGATCTGATGACCTATACACCACCTACAGTATGTCTAATAACTCTCACATATAGTCATACATAGTAAATATCATGGTATCCATGATAATAGGTATTATAAAAAATCCACACAAAAATGTCTACTTAAACAGAGCCAAGTATTTTGTGTTTCAAAGAAATACAAAAAAGGGGTGTTTTATTTCTTCTTTCATTTAAGTGGCCATTCAATACAGTGACTAAAACCTTGTGCTGATGTCTGTTTCTCTCATTCACTGTGGCGATGTTGGCACATCTAAATAGATCAGTATGTACAAGTATTATTATTATCTGCATTCCATACATATCTGCAAAAACTTGGATTACGCTGAACAGTTTAAATAACATTCTGCTCTTAGTTGCGTAGCATGCCCACATTTCTAAAGCAAGTGTAAGGAAACAGCTATCATTAAGGGATTAGAATCCATGCACTGCCTATTGAACTGCATGAAAAAAAAATCTCAGGACTTAATTTTCTGCATGAATTCAGGTGCTGGTGAAATAAATGGCCTGAATCGAAACAAAACATAATAATCCTTCTTAAATTGCACTGCTTGATTGACAAAGATAACAACAAGGAGGAATTCCCAGTTTTGTCTAAGGTTTTATCCCCCCCTATAAGAAATACATGTGCTTTGTGATGATCTGGAATGATGCTGGGGTACCACAAATAGAAATCTAAGACAACAGCATGATGTTTTTACTGTATACAAAGGCAAAAGATAGATCTTCTTCTCATACGCAAGATTAAGTTCTAACACAAGTTTTTTCAAAGCTACTCTCTACTACCAAAATAAAATTACTTTAAAATGCAAAATATACTAAACTTAAGGGAATGCTTATTTTACCTGTCCATTGTAATAATGTTAGTTTGCCAACAGACGTTTGGTAAATGCCAAAAACATCCCCAAATCTGTCATTATGGCTCACGCACATTTTGATGCAAGCATTAATGAGAGAGTAATACAATTCTTATATGTTTAAAAAGTTTTCATTTTCAATTCACGGTCAAGAGCAATTTATGAGATGTTTGATACAGAATATTCTACAGTACCCACTAAACAGTCAAAAGACTTTAAATCCTTTCCAATACAAACAAGAAGGCCAACCACATAAATTTCACTTCATATTTATACAGAGAATATATAACATAAAACTAAAAAATGAAGAAAAAAAAACTACACAGTTAGGATTAACCTTCCCTGGGAAGTGATGAAAACACCTTCAAGCGTAATTTAATACTCAACAGCAAGAGAGGAAATCATAAAACGGCAGTCTGTGTGGTCTGGTGCCATCCAATAACTAAAAACCCAAGAGGAGTGGGGGTGGGAGGGGAATGGGCTTCCCAGCGATAGCGAATGACAGAAATCTTTTTCACACACAGAGACGGAGGCAGTGCAAACAGGCTCTCAGAGTCACTCAGATTCTGTGCCAATTCACTACATTCTTCCATTTATAAGCATCAATTACCACAAAAACCTTACTGCCTGTTAAATATCAACACAAAGAACACCCCCACAGGGAATCTAATAATGAGACCTCACACAGTGCTTCACCTTTCAAAGACGCAGCGTCCCCTTAGGTGCCGAAAAGCAGCTTAGAGACTGCTTAAACAATTGTTCAGAATGTGCTCTCCACATCTGTGCAGTACACTAACAATGTCACGGCGACAAGTATCACCTTCTAGAAACAAAACACTTTTAATTCATATTATTTTACCTTCTAAGACGTAAATAACAGCGGATGACAATCCAAGGCTGATCATGGCCAAAATTGCCAATAATGGCAAGATTGCTTCGCACGGTGCCTACCGAAAACAGCAACGAATCTTTATAAGCCACTGGGTAAATTTAAATCTGCAATATCTGAACTGAGTGCATAGGAAGCTGGTAGCATGCCTTAAAATTCTATTGGACAGGCAACCTCTCCATCAATGAAATTCAAATCAGGAACATGAATCCTTTTCCAGGACATCTCTTATATTGGTGATGGCTGAGCAAGACAAAACCTTCCACGAACAAGATAGTAAGTGACGGCCGATTCCGTTTGTTTGACAACGAAACATGTGACTCTCCTTACATGCTGAGTGAGAAGGCTGATGTGGCTCGAGGCAGAGTACTGTCGCTCTGCCTGTTTCTCAGCCAGTCTCTGCAGTGCTGTGGCAATAGCCTTCTGATTGGAGGGAGCGTCAGGCTCTTTGGAAATTAATGCAGACCCCGGACGAGACCTATTCGGATTGCTCTGATGAGAAGCTGGAAAACAGACAAAGACGCAAGGTGAACCTGAGTAGCATGGCTGGGACAGTCCAGAGGTTACTATTCACCTGTATATAAATCTAAATGGCAATGATGTTATGTTAGGTTTTTGCAAAGCATTTTGCTATAAACCTTTAGAGATAATCAAGTCTGTTTTATTTTTTAATTACTAACCAACGCAGGCCCTAGTGAATGATGGAGATAGATGGATACATACATCATCCTAGGAAGGCTTCAAAGATACTGTAAATAGCAAAATAAAGACAAAACATGGGTCTCACTGCTACAGTGAACTGCAAAGAGTATCAAGCGTCTGGAAGATATGACTCTGAGGATGAGATGGGGTGGCAGAGTGGCAGCAGAGCTCTCATGAGTTACAGGGGGAAAAAAAGAATTGCATCATTACACTACAGCCAAAAGAATTTCAGCGGGTGAAGAAGTCAGTGAGACCATGCAGTCCATGTGCAATCCTGGCTCCGACACCAGCATTCTTGGGGGGAAAAAAAAAGACGTGGCCTTGTGTGCATTTCCTACTCTTACTTCTTTAAAAGCGAAAGAAGAAAGAGACAATTCCATGGCTACACATGTTCTTACCATTCCGCGCCGAGATCGGTCGGGAAAGTTTCTGGCTGTAAATCTGGACTGCGCTGGGCACAGAGGACACGGAGATGTGGCCCTGATTGCTGCAGTTGCTGGACATGCTATTCTTCAAAGGTTGAGAGACGGAACCGTGCTGTGTGGACACCGTAGCAGACCTGGCCCTGTTAACCAGCCAGGACGCAGTGGGCAAGGTGGCTGAGGGGGAAGAGGCACCCATGTTCTGAGAGGAAGAGGGTGCGAGCAGTGGGGGCTGGCTAGAGGGAGGCACTGAACAGGGAGCGCAGGGCTGGATGTGTATGTGGTTACAGTCCAACGCTGCTGGGGGCGATCTGGACAGCTGAGACTCGGCGCTCTTCAGCTGTGAAGCACTTGGGTTAACAGCAGATCCCGAAGACCCTGAGGCACTCCACTCCTCCTCCTTTGACACATTGACCGCTGTTCAGTGAAGAAAACATGGTATCACTTTACAGTAAGTGTCAGTAATTCCAAAGTAATTATGTGCAAAGCAACACAATTTCCCATTGAATTGATCCGGAATGCGTGTGAAGTAAATGCTCATTCAGACTGCGTTCCACTCCAGATCCCTCATTCAGAATTAATAACATTCACAGGTGCAGCAAAAGAAAAAAAGAGACTTTTCAACCTCCTCAATAAACGTGAACAGGAGGCAAACATACCTTTTCAAAAAATCCCTTTTCATCTGTTCCTACACTAGCTCCCACTAAAGGAAAATTTAAAAACAACTTTAGGTCATTCAGTTTAATAGCATCAGTAATAATAACAGATGTTGCTGGCTCACAGCGCGCAGTACTAGTCTCCAAGCCAAGCTGCCATTTGTTTGAAGGCTGACTGGGAGTAACCTTGTCCACACACACTGGGGCAGGAGCGTGGGCGTGCTTTTGAAATGATGCTGCAGAGTGATCTTTATGATCCAAATGCACTGAAGGAAAGAAAGTCTGAGGTTGCCTCTCTGTCTCTCCATGGTCAGCAGAGATGTAGACTGCCAAGAATCTTCCTCTTTAAGAACTATTTTAAATGTCATCAGCCAATTGCAGTAAGTCTGTCTTCCTACCATTTTGCTGCAGGTCATGCTGGTACAAACAACCTGGGATCCTAAAATAAATATTAAGATAGCCTAAACTCTGCCTACAAATTAAACCACGTTACAGGTCTTCCAGAAAACCAGGGAGAGTTTGATCAACTTTGTAACATCACAATTTTATATCATTTTTGATGCAATTAACCTAAAAAATGCTATTTAGATCTGGTAATAAACAATTTAAATTGATTTATCGGAGATCATGTTTCTTCACACTTCCCGGCACCCACACATGAAAGTTCACTAGAGGGGGAATGTAAAACAGTCAATTTAGTTCAGACCACTCTTTCCTCATCTTTTTGGGAAGAGTCAATAAGATACGGAGAAGAAAAACAAAAGAATAAAAATGCTTTTCGTCTCATTTATTTAACTGAAAGATGAAGACTTTACTCTTTGTCTTCAGCACTTAAATTGCAGAGACTCTGTGCAGTGGACTTTAAAAGGATTACAAAAAAACTCAGTAGAGCATGAAAGGAACGCTGCTTCTTTCATTAAACATTCCATTAACTAGACATTAGTGTTATCGTGAACAAAAACAAAGCATACCCCTTAGCTCATCAGGAGCGCAATATGAATGTCAGCAATTTAAAGCTGTAATGGGATAAAAACTCTTTTCTGCCTTGTGATTTTATGTGAGCCGATGCTTGCTAGTTAAACCAGACAGAACAGGCATACAAAACCTGGGATAAACATAACTGAGCCTAGATTAAGCCAAAATTTCCCACCATCTGCCAACCTCAAATTACAAACCAGGGACTTTTTGGTAGGTTTCCTGTAGGCCGAAACGAGAAGCATCGGCACATAAAAGTTTCAAACACCGGGAGCTTATGTCCGTGTGAAGAGCAGGATAATTGGATGTTACCAGTGTTACAACTGTTCATATCCCACTGTAAGTCCCAAATCATGTGTGTAAGGCAAAGCCTAGAACAAGTACAGTCAGGAAAAACCTCCAACTGGATGTTTTTCAAGTATACAAATCAGAATCATAGGGTATTTTTCTAACAAACATGAAATCTTGTGGAACTAATAAAAGTCAGATGGACGCAGTATGGCACCCCTCTTTGGTTTAATACTAAGGGCAGGGTCCTAAGACTTTCTATGAGATAATTATACAGCCCTGCTATGGAAACAAAGAGTGGGTGGGATGCTGCCAGTGAAGCTGACCTGTAAGCTGGTGGCCGATACTGAAAGAGACTAATCAGTTGTTTCAGTTCTACAGAGTTAGTAATCTAGCGACATGTCCAACTACACAGGTGAATAAAAAAATACTTGCAGAAGGCCACTGCTCATATTTTGACTACTAACAAAGTAAATGAAAACAAACAAGGGTTTCTAAATCACTTAAAGCATTTCATTTATAAAAACCCATGTCATCAAAATGAGCTCTTTAATGGAGTTTAGGAAATGCACATTTCTGAAGTACAGTTCCCATGCTGCTGGGGCTCACCTTGAAGTCACAAAGTATTGGTTTTTAAAGGATCTCAAAATACAAGAGTTTCTGAAGAAAAAAGGAACTCACCCTTTTGACTCTTATTTCCAGCCTCTTCAACAGAGGTCTTGCTGCTGCCAGGTTTGGCACTCTTGCATCCTGTCCCCAGAAAAACACTTGCGGATTTGTTTTTGTGTGTGTAATATGTGAGGACTTCTTCCAGATCACTTTCACTAAAATAGGAGCGAAACATAAAACCCACTGAGTAACATTTTCATTCCCCTGACTAAGAGAATGAAATTAAATCTTCAGTATACTTCACATAAATTACATGCAGGAAGGTTATTAACACTGAGAAAAATGAAAAATATGCCCATATAAAATGAAATGTGATTAATGAGGGGTTTTTTTGCTTTCCCCTGAGAGACAAGTAGGTAGCACAGGTTTCTTCTGTATTTTTTATGGTATGTGACTAAGATGAAAGAAGACAGTACAGCCTTACTGACCTGGCGCCAGTGACAAACTCCTGGAATACATCAGGGTTTATGCAGTGTTCCTCATCTTTTAGCTTCTCCATTTTTTTTACCATCTGCTCTGTCTCCTGAGAATGGAAAAAAAAAAAGAATTGAGTGGGGCCATAGCTTCATTCTTACAAAAAGCCTTGTCCAGCTGGAACCTCCAATAACTAATAAATTGGGAGCTAAAGATGTGCACAAAATGTTACAATCATTTGAGCTTGCGTTTCATGTTTTAACTGAAAAACTGAATGAATCTTTCATAAATGTGCCAGTAAGGCAGGCACAGATTAATACTAGAAGTGATGGTTACACATTTTATATCAGGTTGCAAAAGACTGATTGCGTAAATGTTCAGGAAGAGGATGAAAACATCCTTTTGCAGCCTCTGTTTAAGCCAAGGCACTGAGCTGATGAGTTCAGCAGTGCCGCTGAGCACCTTGTTGTAGCAGTGGATAAACTCCCCAAGCTGCTGGGAGAGGATGCAGCGCCGATCAGGGAGGGGGAGTCTCCGACTTGGCAACACCATCTTCAAGCCCTGCTGGAGGTTGCTGGCAGCTCGCTTCAGGAATCGAACCACCAGCTCCTAGGGGCGAAAAAACACTGGACCGTCAAAGTCCTCGTCCATGTTCACAAGGTTTACCACCTTGAAGGACTCAAAATACCCTTCATTCCTATTTTTCCAGCTGGTGTGCTTTTAGATTGAAAACGAGGAGAGGAAAAGGTACCCCCCACATCGCCAACGGTGACTGTAAAACAAACTCATACAGGTTAAATTACATTCTCTTGCACATAAATATATCCCCCTTCAAAACTTATGTTCTTTTAAAATTATAGCCTTGCTTATTAAATCCGTACATCACTATTGCAGATAAGACATGTTTCAACAGAGTTTAATCACAAAACATACAGTACCTTGACAGACTTCCACATAAAACATTTGCCAAATGTAGTAGTGTGAATTCAAAGAGTCAGTGCTGGTTAAGTATGAATATGACAGACAGCATTAAAGACTATTTTTATTCATTTTAATTCAACAATAGTTTCGATCAATCAATTATATCACTGCTACCCTTAATGCCTCCTTCAATGTCAGTACAAGACTGATCGCATCTGTATTTTAACACTGGTTTTAAACATTCTCTTAGCAATGCAGCAGAAAAGCTAAGGCTTTTTTCCTGTAACCTTATTTCCACAGTATATGTTGATTTGAACAGTTACCATTTGCTCATCATCCCTCTCTGGCCAGGCTGAGCTGTCATTTCCTTTGCTCTCTGCCAGAAGTCTCATCTGAACTCTGTGAAGGTAGGAGGAAAAAGCGATCCGGGCCTGGACTTTGCTGCAGAGGAGAAGACATACTGTGTAAGTTATTCTGCCAAATTCATTTGAGAAAGAATGACTTCTGTATTGCATTAAATAGAAAAAAAATACTCCATTTGTAGAGACGAGAGAACGGTTTAACACACCCTGGAATATTAATCTTGGACTGCCTAACCAAACGTTGGAGAGGATAAAGATAAGTTATGAAAATGTGACATCTTTTGTTCAAAGCAGGTAATACAAAAAAATATAACTACTAAGATAACAAATATTGTGAACCCAATCTGTGAGGCATCTTCTTACTTGTTACTTTATATAATGGACTAAACAAAAAGACAAGTATGTATCTGTTGCATCAGATGTATACCAGCACAGAATGTCCATTTCTCAGCAGGGTGCACACATGAAAAAGCCTGTAACAGATGCTGCCAATGAAATATAAAAGAAATGTTTTGAGAAAAGCTGTCAGAAGCAAACAATGATATACTGTAACATAATTGCCCACACTCCTCAATAATCCTGGCATGTTGTAAGGAATTTCTACAAACTCAGACATGTTATTATAATACCTCTCAAATCAGAATTTCAGACGTGTTTTAAAAATCAATAGTAGACTAGATTCTTTGTTACAGGTCTGAAAGCAGTATGAAATATTCATTAATGTCACTGCAAAAAAAAATAGAGATTTTTGCAGGTTTGTTATTAAATAAAGGGCATCAGTACAGTTTTATGCCTTTCCAGAAACGTCAACCAAAAAAAAAAAAGAAAATACAATTAGCCCATAATTAAAAATACATCAGCACACCACTGTTCTGAAATGAATGAAGGTAATCATTGGTTTGATCCTTCTGGCTTGATTTTTTTTTTTCCCCACTGAATTTCATCACATTTGCAAAACACATTCATTCTGAGGAAGTGCTCCATTTTCCATTACGCTCATGACTTCTAAGCAATTAAAATATACTCATCTATGAGAAGGACTACAGCTGAAATAAAAATGACCCCACATTAATCTTGACCTTAACTTTTTGATCTCGACTTCTGTCTGGAGCAGTGGTGCCAAGAAACTGTTCTGCTGTGCAAAATGAAGTTCAGTCTGGTCTGGTCTCAGAGTCGGCAAACCACGTCTCCTACTAACCTGAGGTTCCACCCCTGCTGCAGGATGTGCAGGAGGTTAATTCTGGGCTTTGGCTGTGCTGGTCTGGCCGTCTTGTCTGCGGTTTTGTGCTGGGAGCCTTTGAGAGGATTCTCAGGTGCAGCAGAAGGGGAGTGTGCACCAGCCAGCTGAGACTGGACAGGTTTTTCCATGTGCACGGGGAGTTTCTGTAGAGAACCCTGAGCTGGTCCTTCTTCCTTTTCCTGCTCTTCTTCATCCTCCTCGTCTTGCTCTTCTCCAGAATCTTCTTCTTCAGTGTCCGTACTCTCGGGAGACGTGGCTTTGTGTCCCTGAACAGACCCTGGAAGACAATCCAAGTGTCAATTTCCACCTGTGAAAAGTCTTGAAAACATCAGCTACTGACAATATAGCACCTGGGCCCACTGCGTGATGAACAATCAGTGCTAACGTCACAAAAGCGGAGAGGCTATTTTTAAAGGAAATTGACACAGAAGAACTACAGAAGATGGGTGCAGAGTAGCTAAAAAAGAAAAAACAGTGCTATTCCCTGTATGAAAAAATACTGCTGAGAATATTTCAGCAGTCATTGTTATTTAGGATGTTTTGCATCTACGTACGTTGTAGTGGTTAAAATACTTAGGATACATACTCAGCAGTGCCAGAATTTTCTAGTTTCTAATAAAAAATGAACAAATAAAATATTTTTGGAAAATTCCACTATCTTCCTGAGCCAAACAAGATCTGGATGTTGAGTTCCACTCCATCAGCAGGCTAAATTAATATCACAGCCGTACTTTTTTTCTTTCCGAGTGTTGACCGCAGGGCAAAGTGGCGTCTTCTCCGTTTACGCGCCTCCAGTGAGAGAAGTTTCCGCTCGTATTGCATCACGTGCTGCTGAGCTTCCGCGTGAAACATGGTCGCTCTCACTACGACGTGTCCGTTCAAACCACTCCTTCAAAAGAAACAAACACCAAAACCTCTTTCACACTTTCAGCAGATAAGGGCGTTTTGAGGAGGAAAAAAAAAAAAAAGAATTCAACAAAGGTTTTCTTGATACAGAAAGAAGAGAACAGGCCGGAGCCAGAACACCAACCGTGATCTTGAAGCGACTGCTGCTTTACTTGATCTGGAGAATGAAATGAAATGGAAAAATCATAAAGTTGCAGACTGGAAATATACCTCCCTATGGTAGATTGTGCAACACTGACATAAGGTGTAAGAAATACATAAAAACATACATGCATATGGTTGCTGTCTGAATCTAATGTAATCGGAGAGGCAAGGCTCGCATTTCTGTGGAAAGTAGAGAACATTTTAATTTTTTTTTGCTTTAACTGGAATCTGCAAAAGCAGTCCAAGTTTATCCCCTTCCAAACTACACCTACTGTACTTGTGCCATGGGTAAATGGGAAACACTTTCTATAGAAATCTAACGGAAAGTATAAACTGCTTTTCTTTTGAAGTCACCAAACCAAATGTTATGTCTTGAAACAATTGTAGGTAACAATTGTACTTAAGTAGTATTATTATTCAAGGTATTTCTAGTATTTATTAAGAAGTGTGAAAATATCAAAGTTAAAAAGTGTAAAAAGTTGAGGAATAAAAGCCACACTTAATTTTCTTCTGTTAAATATTAAATTACTAATACTTAAAATACTTAATTACATAAATGTGAATTCTGAAATAATGTCTTGTTTTCGTAGTTTCTTTTCAAGGCTAGTGAAAACCCCTGAACACCACATTGTGACCAAAAGAGCATAACTGAATGCTTCTTCCATCAAAGCAAAACATAAAATATTTCATTCAAAGTTATGTTGTTTGTAAAAGCCATTAACTCGGAGTAGAACTCAATTCATCTGAAAGGAGTGATTTATTTCAATACTGTGGATTGTGCCTTTGCTTGAACATAAAGGGGAGATCCAACAATTAAGAAAACCAGCATATCAGGGCAACTGCACAGATACTTACTTGTCTGAGAAGAGTCTTGTTGCCAGCATGTAATTCATTGAGGTCTTGTACTCCAGATAGCCACTACGGAATTAAGACATAAATTAAACAGAAATCTTTGCCTTTTTTAAAAAAAATCTACTGGAAGCTGCTGCGTCAAGAACAGAAAATATGTATTTCAAAAAAGTTATTTGCTTTCACTTCTTTACAGTCATATTCCAGTGGTGGCAGCAGCCGTGGACTGCAGCAGTTGCCAAGAACACTGCAGGACTAAATCATAAGCACAAATAAAAATCCCAAACTAATCAGGCAGCAAATCCATCACAACTTCTTCAGAATGTTAACATTACAACCGATTTCGCCACAGACTCTTGCAGCAAATTCCACATAATGATGAAAGCCAAGACAACAAAAAATAAATAAATCACAATAATTTTAAAAACTCTTCATCCTGAAGACTGGGAACCTTCTCTCCATGCAACCATAAACAAAGATTTCAAAACACTTCTGAAAGTCTCCAAAATTGGCTATTATAGGCTGACAAACTACCCTATAAATGGAGAAATTGCTCAGTCACTGAAGAGGAATTCTAGTAACTCCTATGCGTTTCAGATTTTTGAATCCAATTCAGGATGAAGAGAATCCCAGACTCCTACCCATCATCCGTTCTCAAACAGGTAGAAATATGGAACATCAGACTTTCCTTCCCAGCATCCCTCCTGTCTCCAAGCCCAACCTCACTGCCTTGCAGAAGCCCACCAGCCAGGCTTCATCTCACATGGGAATCCTGACCACCTGATCTTCATGGCCAGCCTGTTTTAACTCAATCCCTCACCCAAAACCCTTATGATCATTTAAAAACTACTTTGTGGGGTGGTGCCCTGTATGTCCTGGAACAAAAAAACAAGGGGCGTTTCTTTTTCCCCAAATTTAAGTCACACCGCTCCTCTTACCCATACAGCTCCCAGGTCTCTGCGGATGGGAAAATCCGAATAAATCCTCCTCTTCTTTCATGCTCCTCCTTTATGCGACGAAGGACTTTCAGCTGATAAAATCACATACGCAGACAGAAATGAAACATTTTAATTAAACAAAATGACTGGGACGCTGAAGAAAGTCTTGAATTGAAATGTGTATGCGATTATGTGGAAAAGGACATTTTTATTTTTCTACAAAAGCTTTCAGGAAATGTCAGGCTGGAAGCAAACTGGAGTGTGGCTCTTTTCCATTGATTCCAGTTGAGGACATCATTGTTTAACTTCCAGAAAGAAATGAGAAAAGTGATTTGGGAAGATGTTTTACCTCCATATTGCAGTGAGTCACCGCTCGTTTTTGGTTACCTCATCTGTCGTGAGCCCAAGAGTGCTTCCATTGTGTTTTCCAGCCCGCGGCTCCTTCAGCCCATTGGTGTCAGCCTCACTAGCTGAGGAGGGTCGCTGTTGCTGTTGGTATAGGTTAAGAGAACAGAATTCAACTTCAAGATTAAAATGTCAGCATAGAGTATGTGCACATGAAGGGAACACTTTAAGCGCTCTGGAGTGGGAAATTGTGGCTCCTAAGGATCAGAAGGTTTTCTGTTTTCTTCCCAATTACCAACATCATGGTTGCTTGATTGCACCATTAGTGGCTAAAATGAACAATTTAAGCAAGGCTTTACATGGTTGATTAAAAAATACCTACAGAACCTGAAGGACAGCTATCCACCTCTGAATTAGACTCAAACCAACCAATTTTTACTCACTCTACTTACCAAAGCTTTTTTTGAATAAAGCCTCACTTAAAATGGTCATTTTGAATTTGACTATTTACGTTTTTCAGACAAGCATAATTATATGAGTACAAATGACAATTCCAATGTGCTGTTTAAATATTACCAACTTTGAAACAATACCAGTAGATGCTTTACCAGGGGCTTATTATCTTCATTTTCTCCTAGAGAAGCATTTTATATCTATTGCCTAAAAAAAAAGCTAAATTAATGTTACATTTTATATCATTACTGGCACTGGAGTTTTCTCCCATAACACATAATACCATAAATGACAATTCTGGCAAGTGGGTTTGAGAAACAGCCAGAATTTAATGAGTAGCCCCTTGACATTGGATAACAATTTTTCTATATATTTAACAGAATAATTCCATTATCTTTATAGAGATAAATCTTTGTCTAAAAGGTTTGCAGATATTAAACCAGACTGGCAGGCCTTAATCCAACCTGATAATACAGAACAGTGCTCATAACACATAGCAAAGCTACCATATATTGTAGTCAAAAAGAGAGGAATAATGCAAGATTACCCACAGGGGTCTCCAGACTGTCATGGAGGTTCTAAACAGGGACAGTTTACATCAATTGTAGGCATGCTAAAGAAGCTTACCAAGGTCAAAAAATAAACTTTATTTAATGCAAAGCTTAGTGATATGTAGTAGTTTTCAAATTACATTACTCTCAGTTAAAATCTAAGCAAAGGGGAATGGGAGCAGATCCATTATATTGGAAGACAAGAACTTCTGTGCCCTGTAATAAAGCACATATTCATTCCAGCCAATGAATCTGGTATGAGAGGAACAAAAATGATCTCTTACCCATGCCAACCCAAAAAATACCAGGATTGCAAAGCATAAGAAAAGAAAAAAAAAGGAGAAAAAAACATATGAAATGATGATTTTATATTAAAGGGTTAACAACTTACCAATTTGGTGTTTGATGTACTCTGCTGTGCAGAAAAAGGTCGCTAAAGGAGCATGAAAGACACAAACAGATGTGTATCAGCTGTTCATGCACTAACTATTCACTTGACAGAAGGGATGAACAACATACATAGCTGGTTACTGTAACAATATCTAAGATGTTAGAACATAAAGGCGGAGCAGGAAAATGTCTTATTTGATAATCTTTCACAATAGATCCAAGCAGAGTTGAGTTCAGTAGTAGACTTACATAAGCCAAATGTATTAGCTGCTGTGGTATCATTAAGCAATGTTCCTTGTGAAAGCATTAGTCACTTGATTAAAAATGATAAAATAATAATTTACAGAGAACCCTGCTTTAAGGATGATGTCACTTAGCAGTATAATTACATTAGTAGTTGTTTTTCATGAGAACCATTTTCCATAAAACGACCAACACTACAAAGAACTAAAACAAGCACATATGGTGTACAGTAATCAAAATTAATGCCATTATTAAAAAAAGCAGTGTTCCCGAGGCTGACTGGGGTACTGGATTAAAATAGGTCTGTCAGATGTAATAACCATCAGAGAAAGTAGTCGCAAGGGAATTTTAATTTTGGCATAACTTAAACAATGTGCATTCTCAAAGGGTCCATTAATTTTAAACCTATAATACTTACCAAATAATGCTACTAGTATTAGCTTTATTAGCTTAAGTATGGTATGCTGTGCACACGACGCTGTGGACAAATGAGGAAGCAGGTGATACCATTTACCTGGGCTTTCTGGGCCTGGTATCGTGAGTTGGGTTCAAGGGCGACTCTACCAGTTCTAAGATGTTTTTGCAAAGGATCTTGACAAACAAAGCCTGGAGGAAAATAACAAAATTTGTAATCACACACGGTTCAGACGGTATCTGCAGAGAAAAAAAAAATCACAGCTTAGCAAAATAGAAATTCTACGGATTTACTGTGCTTCGTATGCATTCATTGAAGCTATCAGATGAGGTACACATGAAGCAGGTGATAAGTATAAGTACTGCAATTATTACAAACAAGCATGATTAGCTCATGACAGTTATGCATAAAAAACTAATGCTAACAGGATATTGTCATTATTTACAAAGCTGGGATGTGGACTAAGTATTATCAGCCAACTATGCTCCATGTGTTGGGTGAATAATAGATTGAGTATGTTCTATATGCCACTACTCATGTTATCCAAAATGACAGTAATGCATCCTGCAACCAGCACTTCAGAGTTCCCTTATTTCATCAAATGACCAATTGAATTTGAATTCAAGCAGTATGTTTGAAAAATACTGCTCATAATAATGTAATATTAGTTTAATAAAATACAACATGCAATAATCATTTCACACAAAATGTTTTTTTTGTTTAAGATCCTACAGGCTGTTTAGATGTAATGCAAAGAAACGACTGGCCAGGTGAGGAAAGGGGTGCATTTTATTTGTTATGTTGAAAAAATTAAACGTAATAAAAACTTTCTCAAGAAACTGCCAAAAACAATTCAGAATGTAGGCTCATACAAAGCTTGTACACGCCACAAATGCAGTACTTTTGAACACTGAATGTATGATCATTATATTTTAGAGAACATGCCAAGAATTATAACAATATTACACTACAGTAATGTAGACATGCTCTTTTGCAATACATTTTGCAAACTGCTGCTTAAACACTTATTCTTACTAGACAACACCAAAGTAACTGGATACATGTACAAGGGAGAGCGCACATCTAGCTTCAGTGATACAGGATTATTTCATAAATTAATATACACCCTCAGCTAACGCAAATACTCACACATCAACTCTGCGCAAAGAAACATCCATCTGATTTGAAAAAGATTAGATGAGCAGCTTTCCATGTAAAGATGTACAAATTCTAAACCCTATTAATCAACCTACTTGTTTTGAGTATGTTTTTGTGTAATACCATTTCACTGACTTAAATTAGGTATCATGTCTGATTTTGACAGTATCTGGGAAACAAATATTCAGAAGACCGTCTCCTATTGTCTATTTTATTTGTTGAGTTGTCTGAAAAACATTATTAATAATGCTTGTGGTTTCTCAAATGTTATTATCCTATTGCATTATTTTTAAACCAACCTCAAGAGACGTTTTTTAATAAGTACTGTGCGAGTTAAAAAGTTAAACAATGCCTGACTGTCTCCATGGCACAAACCACTAGGCAACAGAATAGCCAATTAGTGGCTTGAGTTCAGAGAAAGGATTTTTTTTTCTGATTTACAGACAAGTTTTAATAAATGGGAAACACCCTATTTAAAAATAAACAGTGGAACCTGCTTCAGGCAAAACTGTTAGGTCTGAAGGTATATGGGCCAAGTAGTTCCAAATTTAACACTGTTCATTTAATAACTTTAGATTTTCAGGTAGCATTGTATTATAATCTGCATAAAACACAGGAAAAAGATAAGGATTCTTTATTGTGTTTCCTGTCTATCACTTATGTAAGTCATATGTAAGAAAGAGTAACAAAATTGTCACAAAAATTTGAAGGTCCTGAAACAAAGTAATGACTTTTCCCTAAATACACCACAGTTGTTTCAAATTATAATGCTTTAATATGGGGTGTAAGATACAAAGTGAATCTATTCATTTTTTTTAAAGTAGAAAATATATACTGTACATATGTTTAAATTCCAAAAATGCCCAACTAGGTAAATAAGAGAAGCTCAGATTAAAGGATCAACCTAGTTTTCCAAGGGACATCATTCATTTATTCTAGGTCAAAAGGCAAACTAAAATCATCATGTATTAAATGAACGCCACTAAGTGAGTTAACCAAAGCAAGAAGACACAAATGCTGGTTTTACATCATAAAACATACTGTACAGTATGTGCAGCTTTATTAAATCTGTATTTCATTATACTGCTCTAGTTCTTCTGAAGGGCACATTTGCAGTACTGGATCTTCAGATTCAAGAATCCAGAGCTCGACTATGAAGTGAGACTTCCTAATTCTTGAGATGATCACCATATACTGTATTTAGAAATGCAAGACTTCAGGGTTTCACCATGAAGTGAAAGTTCCTACTCTTGTGGCATTTGCCACACGTAAGTTATGGGAAGGTATTGTTTGCTTTGGTTTGCAGTAAGGAGCAGCGTGGAGCAGTGGTTAAGATTCTGAACTTGTAACTGGAAGGTTGTGGTTTCAAATACCAAGTGAGACATTGCTGTTGTACCCTTAAAAACACAGCTAAAATAGCCAGTTATATAATGTGTGCATTTGTGTAAGTTGCTTTGCCCACATACATTCGCAGCTTGGTAAATTGTCAGAAGATACAAAAGTATGAAACCTCTCTATGTTTAGCTAGTTTCTGTTTGGGACTTTATTCCAATTCAGCATCCTGAATACATAAGTGATTTGGGAGATAGTATTATATACTCTGGAATCAGTCTGGAGAAGAGTTATCAGATGCATTCTGGGGATTAAGGGAATGCCCTGCACTGACAGGCTGAAAAAATGGATTATTTTTAGTTTTGAACGGAGACGATTATGAGGGTACCCAACACAAGTATTCAAAATCCTCAAAAGCATCGACAAAGGTAGTCAGTGGACGTCTTCAGAATGAAAAGTAAAACACAAACCAGAGTACCCAAGGGGAAACTAAGTGAAGTGCATCCGATCCCGAGAACAGGAGCCACTTCTTTACCTAAAGGGTTACAGGAGTATGGAACTGTACCTTGGCTTCCTTCAAGAAAAAGCAGGAAGAAATCCTGGAATCAATAAAATAATAACTACCAATTGGGCTCAGTGCACTGAATGTCCTCCTCTCAGTCGTAGTTTTTCTTATATTCTCTGGCCAACCTTGATGAAAGTAGGTTTACAAACCCCTGAATTTCTCCAGTTCCCTTAAAACCATTTAAACTTATCAACAGTTGCCCAATACAAAAAGCAATGCTCACCCACTAAAGTAAACATGTCTGAAATCATACTGGCTTTTATCTTCAGATCCAAAGGAGCATCACTGGGGGAAAAAAAAAGATTTTACAAAGTTATTTAAAAAAAAAAACAAAATATGTTTTATTAGATTCCTGAACTATTGCCATGTTCGGTGGGGAACTAAAATGAATGCTACTGTCACGAGTCATTCAAAGAATTTATAACAATGAGAAAAAAACAGTGCTGTTTTTCAAAGGATGATGACCTAAATACTGTTAAGTGTGGCCAAGTGGTATCTATTAACATAATGAAGTACAAATGCTGAGACTGCCCATTTCCTTACATGTAATTTTGACAATTACAAGCAGGAACCTAACAAGAAGATGTTCATATTTTTAAAACAAAACAATATGCTTAAGTACAAAAAATGCAGTTATGACAGCGCAAGCTGTTTTTGCTGTAGTCCCAAGCCTGCCACGCCACCTTCACATGCAGCATAACATTGCTGACCCTTTCTCTTAGGGCCTTTTTCTAGTACCCCACTTCATATTCTGAGCTGCCACAAGTGTGGCCAACAGATTTCTAAGGCGTACCAACCAAAACTGGAATTTCTGTTCTGCTGCTTTCTTTCTGATGTACTAGTTTACAATCATTAGAAGTTTTGCTATCAAAATAAATACAAATGAATTAATCATGTTCATGTTGGCGAGAACGTGTAAATGTTATTGTTACACACTGTTTGAAATCCTTGCTACTATGATATGATTCCTTTTTTTCAAACAACTAACTGACATTTTGAATTATTCCAGTAGTGTCCTTCAGCTTAAAACAGACGATGGATATATGGGTAGAACACCTCTTCATTCACAGTGTTTACCTAATTACCATTATTGATATTTTCAGCCTGCCCCTTTGCCATTTGCATTGTCATTGTTCCATAATTGAGAGCTGACCTGAATGTTCTCTATCCCTGAAAGAACTTACAATGTCACCCACTTTCCATTATTTTGTAACCATTAAATAATACTGTGCTATTGCATAACATTCACTCATTGGGGTATTTATGTTCCTATCACTTACCATGCCAAAGAAGGAGAAAGGTTCACTTCCAAAAGCCAAGGTTTGAGATTGGTATCAATAAGGACATCAAAGCCATACAGCTCTGCAGAGAAAAAGAAAAAAGAACCTTTTAAATTGAACACCCCAAAACCTTCACTATGTGATACGAGGAGAGTCTAATATTCTCAGTACCTGACATTGAAAGGTCACCATTCTGTGCATTTCTGTGGTATGTAACTGTTTGGTTTTACATTGGAAGACTGTACAGTCTGCTGTGTACTCTCTTTATCACAAATGCATCAATTTTGTGCACTAAAGAGCTCCCAGTATAAATGTCATCCAGGTGTTTTCCAAATGACTGCAAAGTGCCTTTAAGAAATGTTATAGTATTAGAAAGCCACTGGCAGCCTAACTGAGAAGTGAAACCTTAAGTCACAACCCTGCCCTCAGTGACTCAATAGCTGAACACATCTGTCAAGCTGCCAATTTTTTTTGTAACAGCAGCACTTCTGGTCAGAAATGACACTCCAAGCAGCTAGAAGCTAAGAGAGTAATTAGACCTTACAGTGAGAGTTTTGAGAAAGTGCCCCAAAACACCTAACTTCAGTAGAAACAAATTTGGTGGACGATACTGATGAATGTCACAGACAACAAACAACTGAATGAATACACATAACATCAACTCCTCTCCTTCAAGCTTGTGCTACTCGGAGAATGTTTAAAGTCATCACAATCCATTTCAGAAATGCAATAGCATGTGTGAGGCCCACATATATTACTCAGCATTAAAGCCATTTATATGCCAAAATAGAAATTCAACATTTTGCAAGATCGAGAAAAGAGAGTTTGCAAGCTTTTTCCACCCCCCACTAAGTATTTTAAAATTGCAACTATTCACAAAAAAAAAGATTTTCTTTTTGCATGTTCTGTTTTATAGATAATTTCAGTCCCCAGCTGGGGTCATTTTCCCAGTTACAACCCACACTCAGGGAAAAATCCAGCTTTTCTCAAGAAAGAGCACAAACATTGATCCAGCCAAGCTTTGCTCCTAGAGCTACGTTTGGAAACTTTTGGGAGGATTTTCCGAGTAAGGAAGACTTGGCGCCTTCAAGCCCCTGTATATTCCACCCCAAAGCCAAGCTTGGCAGGAGGCTCAACAATAAACCCCTTTTACTGAAAGTCTGGAGTTCCCTGTGTACAAACACAGCCACTCTCTCCCTCCTCCCTATCATTAAACAGGCCTGTCGCCTCGGGGGCATGCCTCACGCTCACAGCAGTTTTCTTCACAGCTACAGCACATCCAATCTGAGCTGATAATATCAGCCTTGTGTAAACCACAGCTTTACGGGGATGCAGGAAACACAATGGCTTTGCACATTAAAAAGAAAATTGGACCCGATGCAATTCGAAAATTTAATGAAGACAGAAAATGTACCTAACGTTAACATTTTCAGCACTTCACTGGCACCAAGTAAATAGTTTATTGGGGGGAAAAAAATCAATATTAATTGTCAACAAGGGTAAAACACATGATAAAAGGAAAAAGTTATATATATATTCTTTTAAACATTTTAAAGAAAATATTTAAACAACTATTTGAAATAAACACAATGCATATAAAAAATAAACCTTTAATATAATATACATATTATAATATAATAATATACATAGATATAGATATCACTGAATTTACATAGGCCTCAGAGAACAAAAAGGCCCTTTAATAGAATATTTTCAGTTTTTAAGGAAATCAGAGCATGTAATTGGATTTCACTTACAAGATTTACAAACAAAAGTGCTTTGACGTTAATTAACTTCAAATAACTTTATTAATTTTCAGTCATTTTTAATCTTAGGTCTTTGAAATGTATTATCCATTAATCACCGTTAGTGGTGAAATTACTTTATACCTACCAACCATGGAGGCACAGTATGAAAACCCACATGCTGGGGTCACAGTGCTCATCGAGAACTCATATTGCATAACTGAGATATGTTTATGCAATTCTTGGACAATGCACAAACACTGAAAAGAGGTCTGATCTGTCTGTGGGTAGGATTACTACACCAACAGCCAAAACAGTAGTTGTTAAGCAGAAAGTAAAAAAAATCCATCTCCAGTGTTATTTTCCCCTTTTATTAAAGATGATCATAAACAACTGAAGTCTTACTGAACCACATAGTACAACAAACAAAATAAAGAACACCTAGTCAACTTCCTAAGGCCAGGAGTCCATGTGCTCTGCATTTACTCCTTATTATTCACAGACAGTGTTGATGCAGTGTTTTCACTGAGCCTGTGGAGACATTCATAGACACATTTGTTCTGTGGCTTAACGACTTAATGCAGAACATTGTTAATGCAGCCACAAAGCATTCACAACACCCTTAAACTAAGAAATCAGAACCAGAGGAAAATAAGCCGAAAAACTTAATTTAGATGGCGCTGGCAATCTTTTCTCAGCTAAAAGAGACAAAATGTCTGGATTCTAAGCTTTAGATTTGAAAATTATTTTTCCAGTACAGCAGATCTCTAAAATCAGCACTTGCAGGACTAATTGTTTTTGTTTTGTTTGTTATTTGGTTGCTTTGAAATGTCCCTTAAGAACAAAGTTATTGAATTGTAAGTTTTTTTTTAAAAAAAAAGGCATGCAAACTATAAAATTAAACTCTACAGTTCAGACTTGATGTCGAGGGAGTTGAACAGTTTTGCACAGTGTATCTAATATAAAGCCAAACCATACTTAAATATATTCAGAACATATTACTACAGATAGAAAAAAATCAGGGGAAAAAACTTCACCTATAGTAGCTGTCCAAACTAAACATAAATAAGTATAGGATGTTATTTTAACAGAAGTCCTGTCCTCTGTTTTCAATTTAATGCAGGCAAATTTAAAAAAACAATTTTTTCATATGATTAATAACACTTCGTGAGCATAGTGGATTGAATATGTACAATAATGTGTTTCAAAAATTGGCTTGAGCCTTTGTAAATGTGATCTCAGAATAATAACAATCATTTTCAGCACCTTAACAAAGAAGATACCTTTTAATTGTGGAACAACCATGGGGAAAAAAACATGGCTAGAGTTTTCCGCTTTTACATTTCAAATCTGTACAATTGTTTCTCCAGAAAAAGTCAAAACCTTGAGTACTGTAGCTCATGTCGGCTTTCTTTCTGTCAAACATTACCACATAAAAATAAATTACAGTAAAACATTTAGCTACTGTAACAATTAGTAGGCTTCTGATTTTTTTAAAGAGATTTAATAACTTTATAATTACACCATACAAATTCCGAAGCTATCACTGGAATAGCCTTTAACACCCTCCAGCACTTCCAGTCATATAACTTGGAGCTCAGCATGCCTTATTTATTGTATTACACTGCCTTGTACATCTGCTTTTGCCTTTAAGTAGTGCACGGAAATGCAGACGGGGACCATTTTAGAAACGCCAGGGTTAATTTTTTCTTGCGCACGTAAAAAGAATTGAGCAGCAGACAGGACAGGAGACTGGAGAGCAGAGGGCTGCAGCCGCTTGGGTTATTTTATTGGTGAGTGAGGATAAAGCACGTAATGGTACCAGCCAGAGCACCTTGGAAAGCAGCCAAACCTCCCAGCAATCACGTTTTACAGTTAGCTCCTAAATGCCTCCTGACACACAGGGTTATTTAGGAATGAATAAGATTTCAGGGCAGCCTGCCGTGAACGGGTCTGCAGGGGAGGTGGTCTGAAGAATGACTCTTTCACAGTTCTGTAGCATTAATTTGTCATTCTTTAAAGTGTAATTTTATCCGCATGACACAATGGACAAACTACAGATCCAACTGGCATACTATAACTACTGGTGGCAAACTGAAATGCTATAAAGTTTACAGTACAGAATATACTCCCAAAAATGTAGTTTAAAAAATACATGAAAAGTAAAATACAGAAAAGCTTACCCTTTATGCTTTTTAAGGTCTACATTTTTTATCGGTTGCATCTTAATTCCAAACTACTGGCAGGTGGATGCATGAAATGACGTTAGAGTTGGAGTTCTCATTTTAACATCACATCAAACAAAAATTTATCTGCATTATTCATTTTTGAAATGCTTGTGTCTTTTTGTTACACTGAGCTGTAAAAAGCTAAGTAATGTAATATTAATATATAGATCTTTTTACATTCCAGCTGCTGCAATATAAGTCATAACTTATTTTTTAAACCATTACGTCCAGGTGTCACATGAATTATGCAGAAACACTGGTATTAAATCTGACAAACTCATGGCAGTATCACACAAAGTAACAATGCTGCCATATGTCTGTAAACACATGCTATAACTAGACAAGGTTTTCTGCTCCACCCGTTAAATGAAAAGCATCGTGCAGCTGAAAGAGTTTTATGTCACTGGCTGACGAAATCAATAGAGAAAGCAACTGCACAAAAGATAAACTGTGAGTGAACTTCTTATAAACTGTCCCTGCTTGCTTGACCAAAAGAGTGTGTTTTCTTTGGCTGACCTGTAGTGTTTCTGTGTATCCCTACATCTGGCTGCTGCCTTACTCATCCAGTTTATGTCTGTTTAGTTCAGGTCTATACATAATGTCCCAGAGTAAACACCTGGCTTTACTACTGTATGCATTTATATCCACACACCAAGAGATGAAGCGCCATCAATCTTTGCTCGATTAAGTAGGCAACATAAACAGGGGGTTCTCAGCCATACAAGTTCAACGGGCTCATCTGCAGAGCTCTTTCTGTTAGCCCTTGGCTACTGGTCTTTTGTAAAGACAGGCTCTGTTTTCACATAAAAATCCATCTGCCAATTGAGAGAGAAACTCAAACGCACTAGGCTGCTGTGAAACAAAAAAAGTCAGCCTTGCTGTCAATCACAATCATGTTCTGGTTAAGAAAAACAGCATACTATGGATTCTGGATGATTCCTCTTGATCTGTCTGTATTGTTGTACTGTTCTGAAAAATCAAACAAACTCCACTTCCTTGTATTCTCCAATAATCACTGAGCTTCGCAGCAAAATCTTTAAAAAGACCCTTTCAAGTCAAAGATACTCAGTAATTAGAACCCTTTTTAGCCTTGGTAAAAGACCTTTGCAATCCTGTCAGACTTACTGTACATGTACTGCGCATAGTATGTATATGCTCTTGTATTATAAAACTGACGTGCACATATAATACAGTATGGATTTGTCTCAAACACCAGTGGAATACCTTGTTTGGTATTTCTTCCTGTGGGGTACTAGATCATAAAACTCAAAAGTGATGCTCTGACTGATTAAATCTTTATGCTGGTGATTCTCAGATATCACAAGACCCCTGGTATACAGCTCATTCAGCCTAAACATGTATTATTCCCAGGCCTATTTTGTCTAGACCTTTTAAACATTCACAACTTCAAAGATGGTGCATCTCCTTTTCAATGTTAAGGATCACCCTCTAGGGGGTTCAAATCTACCTTCTTCATAAAACAGACCCCGGTCTCTGAGAGACTGCCAAAAAGGTGGCAGTTAGTGCCAACACTAACAGCAATAATGGCTTTGAAAGAAGTTCATAAGAGACCAGTGTAACTCATCTCAAAATCCCTCCCAGTGTAATTGCTTTAATCAGTGAGACTTGGGCCATAACAGAAACTGTTACCAAGCGGCAAAACCTGCATATACCCCAGAGACTCCTATATATTAAAAAAACAGACTTTTTGCTACAGCTAACAGGAAAGCATTTAAATTCAAAGGCATTTGTTTCAAAAGCATTCAGATGAGAATTATTGGGACAATAATAAGGGAAATGCAGGCAATGGAAATCCACCTTTAGAACTGAGGTATGAAATGAAAGAAGACAGAAGCCGGTATGGAGTTAGATAAAAACTGATAAAAAGATAGTAAGGTAAAAAAAAATCAAAGATTATTATCGCTTCATTTTTTAACCATACTGTACATACATATTTACTTAACAACACATGATAAAAAGAGTAAGATAAAGCAATATCACTCAGCAGTTTATCAAATAAAACATTTTTCAGAGATAGTGGTGATGTTGATTCCAGTGCATCTCAAAACTCTTACCAAAGCAGTTGTTCCGGTATGGAACAAACATTTTACAGGCTGTAGCGATCTGCATTTCAGCACTCAATAATGCCTTAATGACAAGGTCTTCAATCTGGCTCATCAGTGCTGTAATATATAAAAAGCAGAGTAAACTCCATGATCACCACATTAAGATTTCATAAGGACACATTAAATGCATCACATTAAATATACAGTGCAGCAATCTGTCAGAGAAACATAAACGACAACCACAAAGAAGTACTCGTGTCCCCAATTAAAGAAAAAGATAACACATGGGTAACATATGCCCCTTTTATGAGCTTCAGTAGAAGAAGGCTGTTCCCCCAGCGCTTGAGAATTTTCTTTCACTGCAACCCTTTAAAAATGTGTTCAACACATACTTTTATGATGTCAGCGTCGTAACGCAGTATTCAGAGTTACTCACATGTTGTGTCTTTGCCTTCTTGCTTCAAGTACCTCAGCATGGCACTCATGCTCCATTTGTTCCCATAGTCCTCCACTTCCGGATCATCACAACTAAAAACGAACACTGCATCAAAAACGTACCAGTTCCAACACAGAGCAGTGGAGGGGGTCAGCAGTATTAAGTATAAAATTTGACTAGAACACGTATACTTTCTAAATTAAATCTAGAATATAACAGGGAAATGTTATTCGTCTTGAAAATCTGTGAAAAATCTCAGCAGTTTCAAGATTCACAATTTTCATAGAAACTCACGAATTACCTGACGTAGTCGCTGCTCTTTTTGTTAACACTGTAGTTTGTTAGGTGCATGAATTGGTTCTTGATGTTCTTTGTAGCTCGGTCATACTTAACTGTAGCAAACCTGAGGACCACAAGCATTGTTAAAGCAGAACGCAGGTCATTTTCACTCAAATATAGATCCTGTAGAAAGGATCCCACCCAATTCATGCAGAAGTTGTGCACCCTGTCACTATACAGTAGGCAGTTTCTATATGGCGTCATTCAGAACATTGAATTAAAGCACAATAAAACGTATAGTTGAGTATTTTTATGTTATTTTGTATAATGTGATGTTTCGGAAAAATGTTTTTTATACATTTATGAACTCCCACCCAAATAAAACACTCGCACCCAAGCGGTCAAAACAGTAGGTTTTGACATTTCATTTTGGAAAGAAATATCAGTTTATACATCACCAAATGTTAAAGGTTTTACTAATAACAAGTGAGTCTGAAAATTTAAAAATAATCTTCCAAAACAAACCAAGAACAGAGCAGAAGCTTGCAACAAGAACAGAATTGGAGGAAACAATGTGAAGTTTATGACCAAGTCCACTGAGGCCACTTGCCACTATACTGTGTGAGCAACCCTGGCATAGATATTTTGTTCCAATTATGCCATTTCCTGTCAGCCTGAAGGCTTTTTTTCATAAAAATAACAAGGATTCAGAGTCAAGTTCTGTTTGAATATACAGCTGCATTTTAAAGCCACAAATGAAAAATATCCCCCCACCCAAAAAAAAAATGTGCACTGAAATGATGAAATGCGTCAAAAACTTCAAGTATGCCAGAGCGAACTATGATAGCATTAAAGTCTTGGGGAGGTGGCTTGGGCATGGAACAATCTTCCCCCTACTGTGCATTTCACTGGAATGGACACCGTGTGTGAAGTAATGAGAATTCCTTGGCATGGCCTGACTACCTGAATACCTTCAAAGCCACAGGAATGTCAGAGATAAAAGGAGGAAAACAGAGTGGAGCCAAGAGTTATTACTCACAGCTGATATTCCACAAAGCAAAATAAAAACAGAATAGAAGTAATTTTTTCAAAAAAAATCCTTATTGCTAAATAATTGGAGAAGTCAGGGTAGGATCTTGGTGATGTATGCACTTTCATATACTCACATTTCCTTATAAAAGGCAGTGAAATTTGTTTTTGGGAAATTAAAAAAGAAAAGTTCTGCAAGCCATGTGAACTGCCTTAATGATTTATTTTCTATACATATTTAACACATTAAACAGCTTTAAAACAGATTTCCATAAAAAGGAGAGCGTGGAACCAAGGCACACTAAAAAAAGTCACGCAACATTGGAGCTCATTTTAGTGAAAATTCAGGCTGCTTTGCACAACCTCAAATAGCTTTTGACCACTTCCAAACTATTGCGCAAGTGTTATCATAAGACACTACAGTAAAAGAAAAAGAAAAGACCAACACTTATACAACAAAACAAAATGACATTACTCAGATCAGTTTCATCAATATCATAGTAATAGAAGGAAAAGGTTCGGTTCAAATGTCAAAAGAAAAAGGTACTACTGTTAAATTTGTTTAGCTGAACTTTCGACTGATGTTCACAGCTCCCACAGAACAGTTCTTGCTGCCATCTAGTGTTCTAGTAGCAATTCCACAAATCAATGCCAGAATACATTATTCTAACACATAATATACCATTTGCATATATTCATTTTTATTACTGGTACTGCAGAAATCGCACAATTCATACTGATATAGGATTTTAATTTATCAAGCAGGTTATAATAGTAAGAAGAGATTTTTACCTTCATAATGCCTTTAATTACAGAAACTAAATATAACATTGCCTGTGACTGAACCGAACCGACGAACCAAGGAGTGTTTCTCCTTACCTTGCAAGCCCTTCTTCATACAGATAGATGACCAGTGGTTCATAGGAAGTTACAAGTACATATAACCGGACATCAAACTTGAAATCTAAACGAAAGAGAGGTTTAGTGTCAGGTTCACATTACAGATGTCAAGGGTGCCAAAAATATATATTTCTTTAATCAGCTGCAGAAAAAAGGGACAGATCTGTCTAGTAAAACAATCACAGTAATGGACGTTATGTTACAACAAAGCGTACTACCATACTACAATGTGTATTGACCAACATTTGATTAGCTCTTATTAAACGTACCATCAATCAGTAATGGATTGCTGATGTAACGGGAAACAAGAATGTTTTCATCCAGAGGAATCTGGTTTGGCTAGAAAAAGAAAAAAAAAGTTATGGTACACACCTAAGTAAAAAATGGGGCACTAAATGTGCCTGGTGTGGTCCTCTTGAGAAATGTATTGGCTTTTTTTTTGCAAAATTAATATAAATCCTAAAACTGATTACATATCTGAAGAGACAGACACACATAAAGAAGTCAAAAAGACTCAGTATACAGTATAAGACAGACAAGAGATATACCATTCTCTTTAACAACGTCCAATATATTTTTTTTATAGAACTACCTTCACAATTGCATTAGAAGGGGACATGCATGATGCAACCATATACTGTAAAGACCACAAAGCTGACTACAGTAAAGTCAATAACACATGAATCATGACAAAGAACTAATATATTTTGATTGAGGATCACGAGTCAGGAAATTCAATCCTCCTTGCCCATGACACAAAGAGGCACCTGAGCATGAGTCCTTAGTCCCTTGTTTAAGTTGTGCTTAGTCAGTGTTTCCTTCAAACAACGCAGCAATTTCTGCTTAAAACACTCTATAAACCTTGTTTAGAACAACTGCTTCTGAAAAATCCTCTGGCTCCAAACTAAAGGTTTCTTATTCAGCAGAAATGGGTTCCAGGTGTGGTGCTGATGAGACAGCACTCTAAGACCTGGCTGGAGTTCACAGAAAAAAACTAAAGAAAAATCCCAGCTTCAAAATATCACTCAAACATTCTTTCCACTGTTTCATAAAAACTTCAAAACCTCTATATGATCTCCAAGTCAGAAAACCTTACTAGGTTCTTCCAGAAAGCCTTGAAGAACATGATTTACTCTGCAATACTTAATGGGAAACATGGCTCCAGCATATTGTTTCATTTTATGAATAGAGTTCTCTTTCCTTTGTTCACCCACTTATTAACAGTAACCAGATAAAGGAGTATACTTGCTTGACTGCACAGTAGAATCATATCCACTCCAACCACACCCATTACTGCAAAAAAGAAGCCCAGTCCCATAGGTCTTGAATTATATATCAGATAGATCCTAGAGCTCGATATACAGTAAAAGGCGTTTCAGCTACAGGTAATCCACATCTTTCAATTTCAATTCTCAATTTCACATTACTTCACTTACATTGCTGACAAGATAAATCCCACGACCTCTTGATGAAGCCACAGGCTTTATAATCCATGGTCCCTTATCTTTAGAATAGGCACCTAAAAAAAATAGTTCAGTGATAAACATTTGTGTATCTTACTAGTATGCAATTTAGGTAAAGTAAAAATAGCAAATGAGGAATGTACAACACACGGGAATTGTCAAATCAATAAGAAGGCAAATGTGCAAATTATTGATCAATCTTCCTGCAGAAGATGACCACAAGAGATCACTAAAAAAAAAATAGGAGCTAAATGTCATGTCCTAGGAATCACTGTGACATAGCCAAGGTGGAAAACCCTACAAAATAAAAGCTACATACAATTTAAAAAACTGTTTTAATAATAACTTGATATCAAGCAGTACTTACTACAGAACTCCTGGTATTCAGACGGAAGTACAAACGTCTGTGGGACAATGTGAAAATTTTTAAACCCATGGGTTTGCTGCATGCGTTGTATGTTTTTATAAAGCCTGTCTTTTCGTGTCAGTTCATACGACCTGGGACAAACAAGCAAGATCCCAAGATATTAGTTGGCACTGGCCTAAACCTTTGTTCAGAAAAAAATATTTATAGAAATATTCCCGATATTTCACAACAAGAAAGAAACACATTTTAACATCAATAAATTAAACTATAAGCCCATGTAAAGAGTACTGCTGAAAAATATTAACAGTATAAAGGTTCAAATAGTAACAACATTACAGATGGAAAAAAATATTTAAGTATGGCAATAACTTAATCGTGTGTTACACCACCAGTGTAGCCCTGAAAATCATTTCTTGGTCCTTACGTGTTTCGTAGTAGGCAACACAAGCATGGGGATCTTTATACGAAAAAAAACATTTGGCAAAACAGTCCATTTTCTTTACATTCCCATTGTAATCGTAAGTAATGGTTTTATAGAAGCAAACAAGTCACGCACTAGAGGAGGCCTGTTACACCTGGAGAAGACAGTCATTTAAATTGGGAAGAAGCCCTATCCATTAAGTCACACATTCCTTGGTTGGTCTGAAAACGTTCTTGTGGTACAATATAGCCCCCAGGAGTTAAGCTTAGAAGACCCCCACACCTGGGAAAGTGGTTGACCTTCTGAAAGTCCTGGAGGTTGCGAAGGAGGTAAGGCTTGAGGTGAGATCCTGTCCACATCAGGTTAAAATCATTGCTGTTTGGATGGACCTGCAAGAAGATCTTTTTATACAACTTGCAGGATACAGATAACCCCTTGGATAGGCCTTGAAAAACCTCCACTGTCAAGGGCTTGCCAACAGGCCAAACACCATACAGTAACAACGGAAAGAGAAACCTTATTGAGCAAGATGTAAATTACCATTAAAAACAGAAACCTCATTTATATGGCCGCACACTTTAAGAAACTTTAAAAAAACTTATGTTAATGAACATCATTTTTAACAACCTGGCTCCAGCAAGAATAACTGCAGCTCAAACCTGATACCCTGCTGTTTATTTGGTAAAAGCTAGTCCTTTTCATACTGTTTCAGTGGGTAAGCCAACTCACCAGCTATTTTTAACGCAATCATATTACTTTAATCTGTTTTGTTTTATTCCCGCCCTGTTATGCCCTTTCTGAAGAGGCTGATTTGGCACCATGAGTATGTGACTATGAAAAAGCCAGATGTTTCCAATAGAGACTTATTAAACTTTGGCTTTCGGGATGCTGTGGGAGACACTATCCTTTCTTTGATGATTATTTTATTAGGAGTTAAGAACCATTGAAATGAAATAAAAAGGAATTAATAGTAAGTGCTTGTTTGGAGTCTCTTTTCAGAGGCACAATAAACCCATTAAAAACCTACTTTTTCCAAATGTGTACACATCACTGGCTTTGACAGCGACAGTCTGTGTAAAAAAACAGCAGTCATCAACCCACAAACCCACAATCAAGGGGCAGAAACCATTCTTATTTGTTTTTTTAACAAACACATTATTTGGTAATTGACACTATATAAATCTGCATGAGCGTTATTATTTCTGACCAATTTAGTTTAGATTTTCTTAAGTTGCCTCTCCTTTTCCTAGTCTGAGGTACACCGTGTCAGACGAATGACACAAGCACACATACAAAAAATGTTTGAATAAATTTACCCATTACACAAATAGCTACTAAATCCATTTATATGTTATATATATATATAGAAGCCACATTACCTCATGGAATCCATGAACAGTAAGAATACTGCGAACCAGGCGGCTCTCTGTTCGGACTATCTTGTAAGCCAAATTATACCGTTCTTCAGACAGAAAAAGAACAGAGTAAACATGAAAATGTATGTTTAGATCTTTCACAAAAGTGATGTTTTAAACTGATACATACTAATCTATAACAATCAGCTATAACAATGGAAGAAAAAACTCATCAACCTATTTTTCCCTAATAAGACATGCTTTTTCCATTGTGATTCAGTGCTATTTATTAGTTCAGGGGAAAAAACTACACAAACACACAGTTTTAAAACACACTTTTCCGAGTTTTACGAGTAAAAAACGCATGATTTCGTCTATTTTTCCATTACCTCCAACAGATCGGATATTGCCATCTTTGGTCACTATTGCTTCTGCGTGGAAAACCAGGATTGGGATTTTCCTACTGCTCCCACTCCAAGCTATGCAAGGGTGATCCCTGTAGGCACACAAAACTGGTGTTTTGAAATGTCACCTCAACACCTCAAACCAACCAACTAACCCACAGCACGGACTGCAAACCGGGAGAATGTTTCACTATAAAAAAAACACTGAAACATTTCATCACATCAATCCAGCGAATTAAAAAAAAAAGAAAAAAGAATCAAGGAATGTAGATTCTTGATGTATTACATGTCACTTGACTGCAATTATTTTCTTTTTATTATTACTTTTAAAAGTCTTATACAGAAATACAGAAATTTTGTCAAAGATGTTTCAATGCAGGCCTCATTTTTGCACATTTGTTTTATCTTATGATGTTATAAGAGGATTTAAATTATGAACACTGTTCACACTATAATCTTTAACAGCAGTTCACAAAAAGCAACAGACTAAAAAAAAAGAAACTTTGCACTCTCTATTCATATGGAAGATATTCGTACCTGTAAGATCCAAATTAGAAAGCTTCTAAGTGATCCATTGCTATGATGTACTAGGTCTCGCTTACTACCATTAACTACATTTTATAAAGCCTCCGAGGTCAACTGGGGGCCATTAACATGACTACAGTTTTAAACTGCTTTGCTAAATCAGGAGAGGCAAAACTGAGGAGACAAAGAATCAGTACGAAAGTGCTGGGCAATTTACACTTTGATTAATCAACAACAGCTGGATATACCACATACTTCGGGTGCAGAAACAAAGTGTAGCAGAGATTAAACCTTCAGTACCAGTCAGTCTTCGTTAAAAAATAAACAAAAAACGTTTGGAGTGTGGGAAATAACACAGGTACATTTCAATGTAAATATATTAAATTATATTATGAGCTACAGCTTATGCACTATAAAAGTGAAGTCAAATACTGATAAACACAGGCTAGAACTCTGTAAATTCTCCTGGATTTCAATAAAACTAACTGCCCTGCTGAATCACATTAGCATCTTAACTATTCTTAAGCAGCAGGCTGTCCTTTGCAAACGTACTGAACATGCTGGAATGCTACTCACAGAGTTTAGAGCTATACATCAGTGCTCAGTATACTGTACCATGTATCTGTCCTGCGCTGAAAGACTGCAGTCATTTACAAATTGTGTTAGTGATGTATTCAAATTATTTTTAAACGAATTAATAATTTGTATCGCTATCATAAATGTATTTAGGGCATGTCATCTACTAGTTAGATAAAACATCCGAGAGAAATAATTAACACAATGCCTTTTGATAACCGAAGCCTACAACAAACATACAATATATCAGCCTCCGATATATACAATAATAGTGGAATAATAGTGGAATCCTTAATAGTGGAAAACTGAAAATGATCTTTTAAAACTTATAATTTGATTATTTAAAACTTGAAGCACTAACAGACTACAAAAACTGAACATTTTTAACCTTAAAAAGAGAAGATTGAGGAGACATGATTTAAGTATTCAAAATCCTCAAAGTCAGCCTCATGGATTTAGTCAAAATCTACAGTAAAATACAAATCATGAGAAGACTCATGTGGAAACTACACTTGAAGTGAAGGAGAGAACATGAGGCACGTTTCAAAAAGGGCAGAGGAACCATGTAGCAGGCTGTCCAGCCATGTTGTTGAAACTGATACCCTGGCTCCTTTCAAGAAATAGTTGAATAGGCCTTTCATCAATCAGTCAGATGAACTTCCACGTGTTTGAAACCGTTCTTAAGAAAACACTTCATAAATAATTCCTCCGTCTCCTGATGTAGACCAGCTCTGGCGTTCATGGCCTCCAATACATTATGTTGAATAATGCAAATATCTGGTCACAGGTGATTACAAAAATAGAGAAACACAGTAATTTGGCCCATGGGTATTGTAGAGCACATATGAAAACAAGGCACTTCAACACAACATGTTTTTGTATACGTTTTATTTGATTTTTTGAAGCTTCTAATCATGTCTGCAGCAACAACCGTAGTTGTATACATTGGCACGGGATTTGCAAACTGCTTTTTTAGTGTCAAACTAATCCAAACTAACACCTGTCTCCTACTGCAGTGTACACACTTCATAGTATAACTGCGTCTACTCACTCTTGCTCATCTTCAGAGGATGATTCTGAATCCTCTTTATCCCGGATCAGGGTTGGCATTTCCACTATGTAGAGGCCACAGCCCCCTGATACAATCTGCTTTGTGTCAGCTTTTAGAGGTTATGGGTGCAGGCATCTCTAACCAGCTCAGGTAAGTCTTTGTTCTACTGCAAAAAAAAATAAAACATGAAATCCAAAAGGTCAGACAGAAAGCATCTCCAAATACATGTCTCTTACAGACACTACATCCCTTTGGAATTCCAGCTCTTACACTCATTTTCTTTCCCCTGTAAAGAGAAAGTTAATGCTAATGAATTCATTTTCTCAACATTTTATCCAATACACAGCCAAAGCTTATTTCGGCAAGCAAGGCAGGATACACCCTGAATGGGACACGCCTGCTTCGCAGAGAGAGACACGCTCACACCAGGACCAGTTTTCCCTTTAGACTGTGGGAGGAAAGCGGAGCACCTAGAGGAAACCCAAGCGAACACAGGGAAGACACACACACTCCACATAGACAGCACCCCAACGACTGAGCCCAGGGTAACAATACTAACCACTGTGCTGCCATGCCACGCATGTCTTTATCTATCAAAATATACTTTATTTCTAAAAGCAACATCTCACAATAGAAACATTCTCTCCTGAACTTCACGTGCAATAAAATCTTTCCAAACAGGGGTTATCAATCTTTGCAAGTGGATGATGGGGCCGGATCTTGGACCACTTGGACCACCGGATCTTGGTCCATCAGGATCTTGCTTTTGTCCATCAGATCAGTCCCCGTACAGGGCCCACAGTCCTTTCCAGCACTCACTCGCCGTGGAGAAACCCCATTTAGCTCCATTCCTTTTGAGGTCTGCAAGTATCCTCTCCTCCAGTCTTTATGTATTTTTTTTTTATGATAAGATCACTTAATTAGCCATTTACAATTTCTTGCATTAGGAATTTTGTCTTTTCGCATACCCCAGCTTGCTCTCCATGAGACACACAGACAGAGAGAAGCTGGAGGTCAGAGCGCAGGGTCAGCCATTGTACAGCGCCCCTGGAGCAGCTGGGGCTGCGGGATCCAGCCACAGGTGCAGATCCTTAGCCACAGAGCCACTGCTCCATGTCTTTATGTATACTCTTAATTAGGTTTCTAACCCAATCACCTGCAAACAGGCCCTACGAGACATGGGTCAGCAGGGCCATTTGCCCCGAGCCTCACCTCACCCAACGGTGCATGGTCCTCCACTTTAACCCTTTGGCTGTGTTTCTCAACTTGAGTCGAATTCAGAACTTTTACTGCGATTCTTGTGTTTCCACAAGACCCTGACAATAAAGGATCTGCCATTCCTTAAGGTCTCTTTTCTGCTGTTAAACAAGCCTTCTGAATATATAGTATGTAACTGAGGTTTAAATTAAACACTTTGCTATGTTCCTTTCTGGAAAAAAACAAAGAAAACACTATCAACACAATTTCAAAGCCAGCTTTCAAGGATTCTGAAATCCTTGTTTTCAGAATGAGCAGCACCCTGAGCCAACAATCTCCACGCACCACATTTCAACAGCGAAACTTTAGATGACCACCAAATCTGTTTTGGTTAAGATGCTACTCAGACAGTAGGCTAGCCCTACACTGCAGTCAACACTGTGGCAATGTTAAAAAAAAAGTCTGTGGCCAGCTTGGAACATTACTCATTTGTAAGTGCAAACATGACGTTAATACAGTTGGTTTTGTGCCTATTTTAAGAAACATACAATATTCCACAACTTCGCTGACGCCAGGAAACGATCGTCGCTTTCGTCATCTTACTCTAATGACAAAGTTGAATGCAAGTTGCCCCGACAAACTGAAATCATCACAAGGTCGCAGGAAATCGATCAGTCTCCACCGTTTTTCTCCGCAGTAAGTCGGTTACGTAGACAGAACAGTTAAGAAGATGCACTTTTGTTTTTCATTTTGGTTTATTAAAACAATACATTCCACCTTTGACGCGTGTCAAAGAAACAAACTGAATGCGCACTTCCTCCTTTTAAAGCAGTCGAGCTATGACACTGAAATCACCCTGAAAGCAAGCAAAGAAATGCATTTTTAATCTCACAACACACTGTTCCGGTAGCTAGCAGTCCTTGCACCTCACACTCTCTCTATCGGGGGTAATTCAAGGTAACCAGGTGCTGTTACTTCACCTTTTCGAATCACTACCAATTAATCTGCAAAGGAGACATTTGTTTGCAATTTCAGTACAACTCACTAGAAGTCACATTTATGCACTGCGGTATTACTTACCTCTGTTATGTGATTATTTTTGTATTAATGCGTTCGGGGTCATTTCTTTATTGTTATTATCCCATTATCTAATCCACAGCTCCAGTTTCGTTTCCAGGCGTAACTACAACAACTAACCGGCAACCAATGAACAGAGCATGCGCTTCCGCCAAGACCTGAATGGACGTGACGTCCTACCTCAGGACGCACAATTTGAACACGGGAGAATGCATCTGAGCATGCGCCGACCGAAGACCCCTCCCACCGACCCTTGTACAGACTACAGCACAGCAACTAGCGCATTGCTCCAGAGTTTTCAGCCCGGAGGCGTGAGGCGGAAGCTTAAAGAAAACAAAATGCAGCCAGCAAGGCTATGATTGGTGGAGCGAGTGAAAGAGGGCGGGGTTTTGTTTTCGCTTGATCAACGCACGACTCGATGGGACCAGGTGGTGGGGCCTCTGATTGGCCACATTAAATGTCCGTCAGCCCAATCACGACAGAGTGACAGCCCCCTTATCCAAAAGACTCTTATTTGTGTGAGAGGTTCTGTACATCCAACCAATTAAATATCTAAAAAGATTAAAATGGTGGTGGTTTCTGTGTATAATGCTATGTTAACAATGCTGCGGTACTGAGGTAAGAAGAGAAACCCTTGTATGTAAATACGAATTATAATCCATATTGATACACTGCATTACAGCCTTATATATAGCTACCTGATTACATAAGGAAATTCTGATATCGGTGACAGTCATGATTACAGTATTTTAGCCTAATTCACGTAATTCATCTGTGATATCTTCGTCGTATGTTTTAAACTACCTCTAGCTACGTGTGACTTTGTAATCTGGTATTCAGGTATTCACAGTAAATGGTCTGTTCAGTGGACTAACGAACAGTACATGATGTGTAAAGCAAAGCGCAATTTGTAGCTGCAATCAGTGACTGAGGGAATTCGTTAATTAAATCCATATATATATATGAGGTTTAAATGTGATTGTTAGATGATGCAGTCTATACAGCATATACGTTGTCATATTTCTCCAGTTGGCTAGCTCATCGGTTCCATATAAGTGAGGTTTGTTTTAGAGTTTAAAAATCTACTGTATGTCAATGTTGCACGATCTGGCTTCAAGAAGAATCTAATTGGATAACTGATATATGACATTATTATTATATTAAACTGTTGTACTATTTCAGTATTGCGTGGCTGTCATACGGTACATTTAAAAGCTATCAATCCGCGCATCGTTATTCTAACATACATGTGCATCAAAAGTAATCTCGTGGTAGAACGTATTCATACAGTATGTATTAGAAAAAGTTTACAACTGTGAAATCTTAAGAAATGCTTCTGGCGTCCATTGGATTAAATGCTCACAGTGGGACACTGGAGTGACCGTTTCATAAACGCTAAATCACCTGATTAGTGAGAGAGATGGGCAGAGGCGATTTAGCGTGCTCATTGTCAGGTCTGGTAAAAATCGAGAAAACCCACAGTTGGAAAGCATCGTCCGCAGTTTATTAAGAAAACAGCACCTTAGTGCCGTGGGTATCAGGAGTCTGCTCCAGTGAGGAATCAAGGTTCGGCGCAGATCGCCCCCAGCAGACATCAGCATGTGCTGCGAAAAAAATTCGCTGTTGTGCATTACAAACCACTCAATGGGAATTCCAGGTCAGGTCACTATAGAGGTCCATTGTATTCCAGTCCACAGTAATTGACCGGACTCCGACTGCACGGCACAGCGCCGATCATGTCCTAGGGTCTCACTTGCTGCTGTTCCTGTGGGCTCACCCTCACCGCACCCTATTGCACGCTTGTGTAACAACAGCGGGGAGAGCTGAGGAGACAGTTAACGCTGTGGATGGCCGAGTCATCAGATCGGAGCGCAGCTGAACTTGTGTGGTATGAGCTGGGACAACACGTGGCACCTAGGGGCGCCGAGACCGGTGAACCAACAACTGTCCTTTGAGGCTTTGCGAGGCTAATGGGATAGAATGCCAAAAGACCACATCAGCACTGTGACACAAAGCATGCCCTGCAGACGCACAGCTTGTATAGCTCCTAATGGCGATCGTGCCTACTACTATGACCTTTGATGTTTACAGTACGCCACTTATTCTTCAAATGCGCTGATGGGAAATCTCAATCAGCATAATGAATTTACTTATGCCAGGTATGTTTGGTGAAATGTCAGAGCACCTTATTATGCTCCTGATAATAAGTTTGGAATTTGTTGAAGGTATAAGTGACACTTCATTCTGAAATTCAGTATACAGTATGTTTTAATACACAATCCTCTTCCAAGAGGGCTTCATACAGTTTGTAACGAGCTGTAGATCGGATTCGTGGGCGATTCCACCCTAAGGCTGCAGCATTTCTCATTTAATACTTCATAAATGTGTTTCTGTTACTGTCACAGTCACATTGTAATCAATGTGGACTAGTGGTATAGATGATCGGACCCTATGTGGTGTTAAAAGGAATCAGGTCAGACTTCCAAGGGACGAGAGACTAAGTTCGAGGTCGGGGTAGGCAGGCGAGGTCAGGAATCCAGTAGTCTAAACAGCGAGGTATCCAAATTCAAGAGACGCGAGGCAGAGACGGAGTCGAGGTCGGAGGCAGAGCAGGGCCGGGAGTCCAGAGGTCGAGCCAGCGAGGTATTAAAATTCAAGAGACGCGAGGCAGAGACGGAGTCGAGGTCGGAGGCAGAGCAGGGCCGGGAGTCCAGAGGTCGAGCCAGCGAGGTATTAAAATTCAAGAGACGCGAGGCAGAGACGGAGTCGAGGTTGGAGACAGAGCAGGGCCGGGAGTCCAGAGGTCGAGCCAGCGAGGTATCCAAATTCAAGAGACACGAGGCAGAGACGGAGTCAAGGTCGGTATCCAGTTAACAATAAATGAAGAAACGCGCACAAGAGAAAGGCTATGACTATCTCAACAGTGAGCGAGGAGTGAAGGGGTTTATATGTTAAAGCAGGGAGTGCCGTGCTTATACTGTAGCTAACGACGGCGCAGGTGTGTAGGCCGGGAGGTGCGCGCGGGAGTATGGTTCGTGACAGTTACTGTACATCTGAATATGTAGACTGTATCAGATCAACTGATGATGAACAGGCGTTGTGCTGTATAATTGCTAAGCGATGCAGCAGACTTTGTGTTTTACTGGTTTTAAGAAATTTAATTGATCTAATATTCGGGAACGTAGGGTTCTGTTTCATTTGAATAAGCTATTTTGTTTTTATTTGTGACTCGCTTTCCTCCTCCTTTATTTTCAGTACCGGAGGTGTGCCGCAATGAGTCGATTCCTGAATGTGCTTCGGAGCTGGCTGGTAATGGTATCTGTCATTGCCGTGGGGAATACCGTGCAGAGTTTTCGGGATCACAGCTTTCTGTCCGAGAAATTGTACACTGGATCCCCAGAGTTTGGTGAGCCTTCACCTTTCTTGCTCTTAAGGTTTCAAATGGGATGACTGAGAAGGAAAAGATGGGCACATCCATCATAGCAAGTTGACAAAATGTGAATACCACAGGATCCTGAGTAACTAGGTGATTTACAGCATTGCACATACAGTACAGTATGTGAAGATCTCAAGCTTTCTAGATTTCTTATCGAGATGATTGCAGGGATTTGACCCATGCTCTTGATTCTCAGGTGTTTTTACAAACTAGATAAGGAAAAGTGGGTTAAATCACTTGAGTTCTCGGAACAGCCAAGTCTGGAATAAGCTGTTTACCGAAACTCCATTTTCTGCTGGAGAGCAGTGGGTGGTTTTCCTCACTTTGCTCTGTGATGAAGCAATGCTGACACACCCTGGTTATACCACATTATAGACTGTAATGAAGACCAGATCCAGCTACGCAGATCATAACAGGCACTCATCTGTTTTCTACCACCATCTGAGTTTAGATGGTAGGAGGGAAAATGCTTATAAGGAGAACATGGTTAATTAATGTAATTAATACCAATTGTAAATGCAGTGTTGATGCCACAAACTTTGATCACTTTTATACATATTTTCAGTGGTTCACTATCACACTTTTTTAGCTGCAGTATATAATGTCACTTTCTCCATGGATCAATCAGTTATTGTATGTTTTTTTTTAAACTTTTCACGCCTTTTCAGATTTTATTAATGACATTAAGAAATCAGCCAGCTCTTGGAGCGATAATTAAGAGACACAAGTGGGCCCTGTATCACCTGTGCTAATTGCTGCCAATGACTGATCTGCCTGCTGGTTTAGGTTTTCCCTTGCTCTCCGCCCTTGGTTTAAAAAATAACCAAAAGTAAATTATTTTCAACATCTTCAGTTAATAATTTTCTGCAGTCTCTCCTCAACTTGCAAATTAACAATTAACTCCTAAATTAAATAACTCCTAAATTAAACTAAATTGATCTTAATATGTAATCCACTGATGAGTAACAGACATAGGTGAATAAAGATCGCTCACAATGAGTCAGGGTTTTTCCCTGATAATTGGCAATATTTCAGCTAGCACCCCTGAATGAGGGCAGTACTGAAGCCTACTAATTAGCAGAGGGTTCATACCAATTACAGATCAGAGCAAAGTGCCTTTATGCTGCCTAAAATTGATCTTTTCAGTAAATGGCCTTCAAGCCCGAACCTTTGGAATCTGGACCCTGCTGTCTTCTATCATTCGCTGTGCCTGTGCCGTCGACATACAGAACAAAACGTAAGGAAAAAAAAACCTTTTGGTTTTTAATGATGTTTCTCAGTTGGGACTTGTTATATGTACCTGTTCTTGGGGTCTCCACCCTTGCCGCTCATGCCCTGCCAGTTCGTCCCTCACCGGCTGGGCGCGAACCCGGGTCTCCGGTGTCACGCCAGAGGGATCTTACCAGCTGAGCTAAAGGAGAACTCCCTCAGCCCGGGCAGCTGAGATCCCTGTTATACGCAGGGGCGTATTCGTGTCATATACTGTACATACAGTGCTGTACATCAGTCTGACCCGTTTGTTTGTTTGTTCGTTTGTTGGATCGCTCGTTTTGTTTTTCAAATTAAAAGAAAATGCTCATGGACAAGATCGCAATCTCTGCAGCCGCCTGACAATTTCAATGCCACTGTTTCGCATTGCTCCTGGGTCTGTGTGTGCTGCCACTGCGATGTAACGGCAGCTCTACGACATGTCTTGCAGGCTCTATCATATCACACTCTGGACATTTGTTGTGGCTCTGGGTCACTTCCTGTCCGAGGTGTTCGTGTACAAAACTGCCCTGCTGACGATTGGCATCATGGCCCCACTAATTGTGGCAAGTAAGTATTGCAGTGTTGGGAATGGACACCGTGTATAATATCACACTTTTAAATTTGATTTTCACATTCATCTTTGAAACTTCTTTAGCTGCGGTTTTCTTATATACTGTGCGTCAAAGGAAGCCTATCATTTCTAAGTGCAGCACAGTCACAAAGCTACCATATCCTTTTTGTAGCAGGCACACTAATGTAATATTGTAATATTTGTTTTAAAAAAAAAACCTATTTCCAGCATTTCTTTGGGGGGAAAATTACGATCCGTTCTGGACCCCAAAAAATGTCGCTCCTGCTTTTACTTTTTTCCCCCCCACCAAAAATGTCAAAAGAAACAATAATATCTTCCTTATTATTTCTTCCTTTATACTGTGGTTTAGTAATAAAAACACAGCTTATTACCTACTGTAGTTAGACATCTTTAATCGTACCCAAGTACAGTACTATACAGTAAACAGTTCATTTGCTTTTTGTGTAATTACACACAATTTTCATTTTTTTTCTTAGTACCTTTGGGGTCCATGGTAAAATCTTAAACCCAAATATTCTTAAGAAAGCGAGAGCGCCCGCAATAGCGAACAACACAGGAAGACATGGTGAACCATGTCACGCTTCTCTCCTGCTCACTCTCACCCAGACGAGTTCGTTGTTTGAAGGTGATGCGAACAGTCAACTATGAAAACAAGTGCTATGACTACTCTCCTCTTCACTCTCTCCATTTGGAAGAGGTTTCGAAATTCTTCTTCGTGGTTGGAAACTCTCGTTACGCGAAACATGGGTGACGATCCCAACTGCTTCTTAGTATCTGATTATCATTTAAAAAAATAACAGTCTTTTAAAAAGAGGTACACGGGCGTTTAGCGATGTTTCTTCGTGAGCTTATTTTGCGGGGTGCTCACGGCTGCCGTGTGTGCCCACAACACTATCGCAAAGGAAGAAAATGCCAGTTAAAGCGAAACAATGCTACTGGCGAGTCCACGGGCAATGGTTGGCCAGAGTGGGGCGCCAGTTTCCTACAGCCCTGGTGGCCTCACGCTGCTCTGCCCCTCTCTCGGCAGGCTTCTCCATCGTGGGGATGTTGATTGGTTTCCAGTGCATGGCGGAGCCCCAGGAAGTGATGGCGGCGCGCCCGAAGAAACGCAACTGAGCCGCCAGCCCGTCCCGCTCGGCGCCAGGCGGCGCGCAAGGCTCCGGGCGACGGCCGTGGAACTGAACGCAAACGTGTCCATGAATTTGTCAACCACGGCTGACGTTTTTAGAAGTTTAAAACCTGCTTCCTTTTTAAAATAAGAATGTTTAAGAGCCAAGTCTTTTTCTGCATTTATTGTTACAGAAGGCCTGTTTTTTTTAAAAGGTGAAAAGAAACGCCACCCCTACTTTGTACAGGTGACAGGATTATACACTAGTTATTGAAATACAGCATTAATACAGCGAAGAAAGGAACTTCTTTCTTCACTCCTACATTTTATAAAGGAGTTTTGTTTTAAACGAAATAACTAGTGTTTTGTCCCCTGGATTTGTGCCATATATGACCATTGCATGATCTCTTTAAAAGATCGTGGTAAATTTTAGTGAAACCATGTACTATATACATATCATGTGAAAGACAGCTGCTAAATATGGAAATATGGTCTACAAGAAGAAAATGATTATGGTTTAATAAATTTAAATAAAGGCAAAATCAATTTAGTGGCAGTAAATATGGTATTCCAAAGTAGTTTGCCTTTAAAGACAATTTTGAAATGTAAAAAAGGCTTTTTTTAAATCCTAAGATCCTGAAAAAAAAACTGCACTTGTACCAGACGCTCATTTTTACCAGTACGCAAGAGCACTGCTAAGCTGCTGATAACAGAATTAACCAAACCATAAAGAATACATATTTTATTTCACCAATAGATCAGTTAACATTGTACTCAACTGAATACCAGACGATAAAGTATCTAATAATTTTACAAAACTATAACAATCTCCATCAATATCCATTATTAAATAGAACTAGGTATTTATATCTTTTAATTTAGGATATAAAAAAAGAGAGCTCAGCTTGGGTCAACACTGTAATAAAACATTTCTCATAGAATTATGTGATAATTACAGTACAATATAAAACAATTAAATATGGACTAAAAATAACTAGACATTTCAAAACAATACTCCAAGATGGATACCCTGTCTGGTCCCCTGATCTACAAAGATGTAGAAACAAGCTATTAATGTAGCTTTATTCAGTAACCAAGAGCACATTGTATATATTTCAGGTGGGTAGCTGCGTCAGCATGCGTAGGCTGCAAAGGAACAAGTAATAGGTTTATTCCATGCTGAGAAAAAGAAGAAAGAAAACACAACGTTAAGGCCGTGGAGCCTTCTTCAGGTGTGAGAAAGACAGGGCAGAAAGCAAAGGTAATGTAGCGGGAGAGCAAAGGCTGGGAGAGAGGAGGAGCGACAGGCGGGAGCAGGGGACCGAAAGAGAGGCCAATCAAGAGGTGCGAAAAGACGAATTCCTAATGCAAGAAATTGTATAGGGCTAATAAAGAAACATTATCATTATTACATTATTAGGTGTGAAGTCAGAATAGGTGTAGAGAGGTGTGAAATGAAACCTCCAATGAATGGAGAGAATTTAGAAGAAAAGTAGTGTGTCGTTAAGAGAAGGGGGAAGGTGTGATCCTAGATGCAGGACAATTTTGGTTTCTGTAGTCTTTCTGGTGTATGAGTTCAGAAAACCGTCTTTGAGAACACAGATGGAGAGATTAGAGTGGGTGTGGCCGTCAGAGGTGAAATGACAAACAATGGGCTTGGAGAGATCTTTAATCTTTGCTTCCTTTGCTTTCTGCCTGGTCTTTCTCACACCTGAAGAAGGCTCCACAGCTGAAACGTGTTTTCTTTCTTCTTTTTTTAAGCATGGAAAAAACCATACTTGTTCCTTTGCATATTGTGTATAGTACGTTTAAAAAAATCTCCAATTATGTTTAAAAACAGCATTTTAAGTAATAAAAATCAGTTATAGTCTTCAATTAATGTTATGCACTTCAGAAAAAATAAAAAATTTCTGTACCATTTTACAAATGTCACAGATTTTACCACATTTATTACAGATTAGGTTTCCAGAAAAAAAATAGATGTTATACATTTAGTTAGTGTCACAGAGACAAGTAAATACAGTATGTTTAGTTTTCAACAACAAAGTCATTATTCTCAGTTTAGCTCAAATTCCCACAGCTAAGAATGTGTAAGTCTCAAAATCCAATTCCTGGAGTACCTGATGGTTTTTGTCTAACCCGAGTAGTCAATTAACCTAATTATTTTCTTAGTTACATACAGTATATACATGATTCTTCTTTAGGCATTTTGGAACTCATGACCCAAAACATTCAAATAATCATAGATATAGTCACCTACCTACTCCTGGTTGTATTACAGTTTTGAATTTAACAAAATAACTAGATCAGCTCTGTAACTGAAAGAAAATAAGAATAATTACAAACAGGTAGTCATTTGGCCCCGTTTAATAGCTTTAGTTGAACAAAACTCAGAAGACACTAAGCACTCCAGGAATCGAATTTGAGATCCCTGCCGTATACAGTATATGGTCCCAATAGGTATTCATCCCCAAGTTAGTTCTTTGCCCCAGTGTTCATGTATTTATGGATGCAGAATGCTACCAACAGTATTTTTATGAAGAAAACAAATACTATAGCACAAAATACGCCTTTAAAGTGTCATGTTTTCAAAATACAGAAAAAAGTGAGTGTTTTGCATTCTGCAGTTTTATGACACAATGATATTTTGAGACTTCACTAGATATAAAGCACATAACTTTGTAGTAGTAATCAAGGCTCCCAGCATTACAGAGGCATGTTTTCAAAATACAGAAAAAAGTGAGTGTTTTGCATTCTGCAGTTTTATGACACAATGATATTTTGAGACTTCACTAGATATAAAGCACATAACTTTGTAGTAGTAATCAAGGCTCCCAGCATTACAGAGGCATGTTTTCAAAATACAGAAAAAAGTGAGTGTTTTGCATTCTGCAGTTTTATGACACAATGATATTTTGAGACTTCACTAGATATAAAGCACATAACTTTGTAGTAGTAATCAAGGCTCCCAGCATTACAGAGGCTAAAGTTTGCAAAATAACTACAATAGACTACAAATTTACAAACATGATAACAGAATATTCTTTAACTCCTTACATATTTTTCTTTAAACAAAGTGATTTTGCACAAATCCTTTTATTTGAACTTTATATCTTACCCTAATCCGCACATTTTTATTTTAAAATATACAATATCATATACTGTAATGCATATTTCAGGAATTTACGGGCCTTATCTGCTCTTATATGGTAGTTACATTTACCGTTTTTAATCTATTATAACATATATATTTTTAAGAGTGTCAGTGTATATAAATGCATACCTAATGGAGTCAATTAATCTGTAACTGATGCACTTTAGGACTAGTGATGCTAACCACTGGAAGCAACAGGAGCTTTTCCATTGTGCAACAGATGAGCAGCAAAGTTCAGCTATTCTGGGGGGAATTGGGTTAAGTAGATTCCCAAAAACACTTATCCCAAGCACATTGGTTTTCAAAGTATGTAGCCAATGAAACAGCAGAGAATCTTAACGTAAGCTATTGTCTGAGGTAATTGCTGAGTGTGCAGCCTTTAATACGGTTTGTGCATAACATCCCAAAAGCTTTCTACCTTTAATTATCCCTCCTTAAAAACAAATCAGATTTTTTTTCCCCTTTCACATAGGGTAGAATTGATTAAAACATGTGAACACCTATCAGCCAAAGCATGATTCCAGTCTCAAGGCCTGTATTTCACACATCTCTTCAATGATAATTTAGGTCTCTTCATGCCGAGGAGTGGCCAGCACGAGGGCCTGCTGTATAAACACTGTCAATTAAAAAAAATCAAATACTGTTAGAAAAACATCAGATCAGTCCAGTAAACAAAATTAAAGAGGAAAAACCCGGTTGTCAAGTTCTTTTCCATGCATCTCGTGACGAGTCAAGTTTGGAAGCCCACAGACCTAGTTATCTCTCCCCTTCCTCCAACAGGCCTGGCCAGGGGAAGGAGGAAGGATGTATAGTACTTCCCCATCTCCGTCCTTGTGCCTGGCTGTCCCTCCTCCGGTGCTCTACAGCTTGGACTCTTCCACAATTACCGGACAAGAGATGGATCGTTCCGCATCATCTACTAAATTCTGTTTATTAAAGAAAAGAAGAAACAATAAGCACTCGCCCCAGTGGGCAACAGCAGGCGCTCACAAGTGACTTAGAACACTTTATTTTAATACCTTAATACCAAAATAAAACTATTGAGGCACAACCCTGAAGGTACTACAGAAGCAAGCTAAAGCAGTCCATTTAAAGTGACTTAAGCAGTTGATGAAGCTGAATGTAATTAATAATGGCCCATTTAAAAACAAAAACTAACATGCATGATGTGAATTATATCTCACTATCTATCTTACTACAGGGGAAAAATGTATTTGTTTATTAAGCACAGTATCTACACACTGTACACAAATGGAAAGTTACATGTTTTTCAAGTCTATATTGACAAAATGATATCTCATGCATAATTTCTCTGGACTCATTTTAACCGTGTTTTATAATGATTCTGTTCTCATCCAAGCTGCAGTACAGGTACTCCCGTTGAGCAAATCCAAGTGACAAAAATCCCACTTTAGGTAAAAAGTTGTGCACGGCCTCAGACATGTTCAGACTTGCTCTGCCCTTGCCTGAAAAGCATTCATATTGATGTGAAAGGTGCCCGTCTCTGTGCAAAGGTGACATACAGTTTTATAATTAAAGTACTGTACAATAATTACATTGTAAGAGTATAATTTATATTACTGTAATAATAACAATAATGATAATAGCTGTAAGTACAAACATCTACATAGAAGAGTGTGTTCCGACATAAAATTCAGCTTACTAAGATTGTACGGAACATAAGCTTCATGTTAGTCAGAGAGCACCTTTAATAACACTCAGAATTGATCTAGTGGAAACCAGTGGAAGCTTTGAGTAAATTGATGATGCTCATAACATACATATATAGTAACCAGGACAAATGCACATCTTTGTACATATACAGAACATTAAAAATGTTGATAGACACATACACTGCATACATATGAACAACAGTTAGTCAAGTTCAACTGGCTCCTGCAACACTGCTGACTGCTTTAAAATTGTAGAGGCCTGTCTGTTGATTGTCGAGTCCTGAAACACGTAGAGTATTTTTTTGGTCCTACAACAGCCCAGTTTCTAGCGACGTGTCTACACAATGTCTCTAATCTTTATGATGTACTAATGGGAGTGTTTGTGTGTGTGTGTACATATGTATCAGAACTTGCATCTGTCAACATAAAAAGCCACTTTTCCATGCAGTCATTTTTATTTATCAAGACAAGGCAGATACATTTCACTATCAGCACCCACGAAGCAAAGTTTGTAAAAACAAAAATGCTAACTCCTTTTGTACAGACCACAAAGCTATTAATTAAAAATTATAAGTGATAATACCTGGTCTTTAACTCCAAACAGACATACATTAAAAAAAAATCAGAGCTCTATCTGAAGTACTAAAAAATGTTATGCAATTGGACCTATAAAATAAAGATCTTAATTTCTCTTTAAAGGTAGTCTTATAACCCTGAGACAAGGCCGCACTCAAGCATGCAATGACAGCTCCTCCTGGGGCACTGTTGTAGGAACACCTCACTGCGGTGCTGGTACTACAATACTACAATAAAGACAGTGCAATGTGCTGATGTGCCAGAATATCCTCCACAGTCTGGAATCCAGTCGCTTTAGCATCCTAAAAGGTGGTCTCAGCTCAAGTAAGTTAATGTTAGAAAGCTGCCTGGGCCTAATTAGTGGTAAGAAGAGACAAGTTAACAGGGTGATTTTGCCAAAAGATTTGTGAACAGCACACTCCATATGCAGCCAATTTAAAAGAAGACCTCCTAGTGTAAGCCAGATCCTCAGCAATCATAATAAACAGCTTTATGCTAATCGCTGGGCTCAGCTGAGCATGCCCTACAGTCCTTCGGATTATCCATTAACTTGTCAAATGAACACTCCAAAGGTTACATTACTATCCAAAAATGTTCAGGATTGTAAATCTGCATATTTGGCTGTATTACCGCATAATTAGAAGGGCTGATGAGTTTTAAGACCTAAATTACTAAAGGCTCACATGTAACTTGCAGGTAAATTAATAACTATACTCTAAGCTTGCAACCATCCTTGATCTGAACTTTTCCCACCAGCTGTGCTCCATTTCAGCTGACATAGCAGGAAAAAGAGGGAAAACCGGAAGCCCGATGCATCTAGAAATACCGCACAAATCACAGAAAAACAAATCAGATCAAACAAAAGTGCCTGATTGGGTGCAGGTGGCAGTTGATCACCCTACCTTGACAAGCCTGCGTTTGTGTTTAGTGTGGTGGGGCTACTGATCAGTGCTGGAGGTGCAAGGGGTTGATGGGAGTGACAGCACCATAATCCAGAGGTGGAGAGCGCGAGTCTGTTGCCTGGAACGACAGCCTGGTGTCACGGACGTCCAAAGGGACTAACCGTGGGGAGTAGGAGAGCGGAAAAAGACCCATGTGCGTAGCGGCGAGACGGGAAAAAGGCCCGGGCTCAGTAGTGCAAAGAGTTCAGGAATGCCGTATAGAAACCTATGCCCTCAGGGAGCGGACGTGGGGCGCCCTGGTGCTAGGCGGGTCTCAGGACATCCGAACGTCAAAGCTGAGCGAGAACAGAGTGCAAGACCCGGAAATATATAGCCCAAGGGAAAGAGAGGGACAGGAAGGACAGCAGAACAGAAACTAGGGACAGGACAGAGAAGGAGCGCCCTCTGGCTGCAGAGGGCGTGACACCTGGGTCACGATCGGGAGCGACGAGGCACCGACTGTCTCGCCGGCGCGCTGACACCCGTGTCTCCAGTAACATTCTGTGCTGCTGAAAACTCCAGGGCAATCCAATCGAGAGCAGACACAGCATTAAAGACGATAGATAGGCTGTCTTCAGGAAGGATCCCCTTTTTCCAAACCTTCTCAGATGTCAGCTGTACTTGCTTTTTGCAAGCAGGATTACGGATCCCCTCAGTCGGAAGCTCTTGATCCCTCAGCATGTGGCTGGGTTTTATCACAAGCCTGACAGGGATCTGAATCCACCAGCACTGAAGACTGCGCCAAAAGAAGCTCCTCATCCCACTACACCAGTTTCTACAGAGTGCACAGGAATGGATGAAACCTCACATTAATGCTCTTTGTTAAGGTCAACTACAACATGACTGGTAAAGAGCCGTAGTGAATGGTGTTAAATCTGGAGGATTCAAGATTTAAATACTTCACAGACTACGTGTTGTTCAGTGGTGACAGACCAGGTCCTGGCCTTTGGAGTGATTTTGAGGCCCATGGAGCAGGGCATTTGACATTCGTGAACTGTCTTGTTAGAAATTTGCTTTCAAATGCTAAAGTTATGTCAAAGTCAAATCCTACATCAGAAAATTAACTTTTGTCCATTTAATGTTCATCCTGTAATTGGGGTTGTGCTTTTCAATATTTCTCTGGGAAGGGAGAATAATTATGTTTTTGTTATATAAACCATGTGCTGTTGAGGTAAGATTCTAGACATTTATATCCCAGATACTGCCTCTCTAAATTTCAGATATTTAAAACGCATTTTGATAGATCATAATGCGGTGGCACAGAATGTTCTAGGAGACACAGACAGCGGTCCTGAAAGTCAGTGTTTGGAACAGAAAAGTGTACTACCCGAAATAGTCCTGGAGGCATGAATTAATCACAGGATTACCATGAAAGATAAAAATTGCTACTGCGGCTTCACCTCCACCACCAAGAGCATTAAAGAAACAGAAAAATGAAATCAAGCGGCAGCGAACGTGAAGATTATTGATGGAAATGTTGAAGAACAAATTCCAAGCAGATCCCGGGGAAAGGCTGATCTGTTTCTTTGATTTTTCTCTGCAAGAAACACCCTGCGGGCTTTCATCAGTGAACAGACAGAATCTCTGCCTCAGCCCATTCCAGTGATTACTCAGGCCACGTTACTTTACTTGCGTTTCATACCAGCCAGTCTCCCGAGGAGATGGGGAGTTTGCAGGATTCAATTATTTCAATTACATTCACTTGATTGACTAAGGCAGTCACTTTACCACTTTACCGTGAGCTTTTCAGAACATTAACAAGCAACTAATAAGAAAAAAGTGACAGGTTAATCATTGTTTTTAAAGCATGGGTGGAGTTTTCCTTATACTGTACTGTATGTAAATCTCTGTGAGCCTAGATCTGAAAGATTAGTGCATTAACACTGTTTAGACAGATTTACCACTCTGACCCTAAGAAGAAACACCCAGCAAAGGATCTGTATTCTGTCAAATAAAACTGATGAGCTCCCCACTGAAGGTATGTCTATGTAGTGGTGAACAACTTTGCTGAAGATCACACCTAACACCAGTAAAACCAATCAGTGTTAGTGTTTCTGACTTTCCATTAATATGCTATTGTACTCTTATGCTGTTCCATTTTATACCTAACCTGCATTTTAGAATCACCTGTTTAAATTAGTAATGTTAAACAATGTATTTTCACAACTAGGACCAGAACACAGAGAGGTGAAATTTCTATTGAATAAATAGCAAGTTTTAAAATCTCACAGATTAAAGTATGTTCTGTTGGAGCTGAAAAACTGCTGAAAGCTGAAATTACAGAAAAGACTATCAAGCAAACAAAGGCATGAAGATACAAAATGTTAACCCACAGAGACAAGCATGACTTCAAGGAGGGGGAAAAAGTTTTCAGTGAACCAACTGAATACAAAACAGCTCGTTTTGTCCTTGAAGATGAGCAGATTTGGTGTAGACCCAGAGATCCCTATAGTGAAGGCCTGTCTGTGCAAGGGTATCCAGGAGAGAGTACAGCTGCCACCACATGCTCAACACACCCCCAGCACACGTCCCATTCACCATACACACACTGGGCCAGGGCTCACTTACGCGGGATGCGGCCGACATATTTGCCTTCTGTCTCCGAAGATCGGATTTTATCAAACCTGTAAAAAGGAAGAGAATGCAGGTATGGGTTCAGCAGGTGGGTGGAAAACAAGATATTTTCAAACAGCCATGAACAGAGGAGCTGTGTTAACAAAAACTGATTAATTCCAAGTTTCTATTAAGAAGCCTAAACAGCATCTGAAGACTGACTAAACTGTTCCGGGCTTCTTCCTCTAGAGGGCACTGTTGTGCAGCAATACACTTTGAACAACAGCTAGTGCTGTCACTGAGCACAAATTGCTGTGAAGGCAATTACACTAGGAAAGCCAGAGAGACTTGTAATCAATTGCTTTGTGGCACTATTGAGTCTGGTGGAAAGAATCCAATACATTCAGCAATACTTCAATATACAGCATATAAAAGTATTCTTTGAAGTTATTGTTCTGACAATTTACTTCTGAGAGTGGATGAACTGTCAGCGTCATTACAGCACTGCTGTAAGGAGAGAGGAAATGGCCACGACTACCAGGAAGACTTTGTGAACATGTCTCTTCCGTCTTCTTAAGACGGAGCCCCCTCACCTGTAATAATGGTCCCGATCAGCAGAAACACACAAAGGAAAATGTTTCCCTTTAACGTCCCGAAATTGTCAATGATCTTCCCCTGGGCGATTGTAAAGATGATGCCAAACACCTGGGAAGAGAGACCCGTAGTGAGAGCCCAAGCTGCATGTTAGCCAATGAGTTAATTCAATTCCACTGACGTCAAAGCCTGAGCTCGATCCTGGCCTTCAGGTGAGCTTCTCCTGCCTGGTACTTACTGCCTTATTCTCTCAACCCCGGCACCTGATTTTAGATCTAGCGCTTAGATATGAGTGGTTGGTTAATGGTATAACGTGAGAGAGAGACAGTTAAAGCTAAAAAAAAAAATTAAAACTAGCTCTGAATTCAGATAAGTCATCAGACTCAACAAGAGCAAAAACGGAGTAAAAACAGAGCTCACTGTTTGCTTTGTGACTGTTATCAGAACCAAGAGCATGTCCAAACAGACAATGCACATCAAAAAGCTATTCTAGAACTGTTAATGATAACCAGTCAGCAGAAGGAAAATTTTACTTCAAGAGTAGCTTTCATTCAATTTTTTTTGTTGGCAACTATCTCCTTAGCTTTACAGAGGTATTTGCTTTCAGTGAGTGCACTACAGAAAATAAAAAGGCAACATTTACATTTTTGCGCGAGTGTGCACATTCTTATGGCAGAAAAGTGTAGTCAGATATTTATCAGACTCACAA